GCCTTGTGGCCTTGAACTTGTGCTCGGAATGTGTGGTGACTTTGTGATCCACCCTGAGCTTGCTTTGCTTGACTGGTCTTGTGACCCCTTGTTCTCCCCCACTTTGCCTATGGGGGTGTGTCAGAACATTATAGCTCATGCATATTGTGTAGGCTATAGTGGGGTAGTCCATAAGGGGTACACCCAATTAGGGTTAGTACTTGTACCCAATTCATTCATAGTTCATTCATTCCTTGTTTCTTCTCAGGGTGCTGATGGCGGGAATGGTCATGTACGAGGTAAGCAGGGGCGCGAATTAAGGAAAAAGGAATTTTCCTTACACTACCCCCCTCCCTAAGGAGGCCCTCCTTACGAGAGCGCATGTACATCTCGAAAATTTCGGCTGCGCAGGTACTCGGTGAGGACAGGGTGGCTCTCGATTCTATCCAGGGGGACCCAGTTGTCTTCGGTGGGCGTGCGGTCTTTCCAGCGGATCAGAAATTCGATCCTGCGGGCTCCCCGTGGGTCACGAACTCGGTGGCTCAGTGTTTTTTCGGGCGTGATGATTGGCTCTGTCGGCGGTCGTGTCATGCTGGCGGGGCGGTTGCGAGGCAGTTGGCTGGTGGATGGGATATATGGGCGAAGCAGGCTGACGTGGAACGACGGGCTGACGTACCAGTCAGCAGGGAGGAGGAGGTGGGCGGTGACGAGGGTGATCATGTGGCTGATGCGAAATGGCCCGCAATATCGGGGGCGGAGTTTCGGAGTGATGGGTAGGCGGAGGTTTTGAGTGTCGAGTAATACCAGGTCGTCGGGTTGGTAAGTGACAAGGCGGCGGTGGCGGTCGGCGTTGCGCTTAGCGATGACGTTTGATTTCTTGATTGCTTCTGCTGCTCGGGTCCGCGCGCGTGGCACCGGGCTGTCGGGCGCGCCTCTGCCGACGGCTTCTCTGCGGTCGGCGCCTCTGCCAGCGGCTTCTGTGCGGTCTTCTTCGACGTCGACGACTCTCGTGTCGTCTGCCGCTTCCCGTCGTTGACCTTCTCGGCGTCACGTTGGCCACCGGCGATGCAACCAGTCGGCCCCACAACGGGAGTGGACTACGGTGTAGGGCACGGGGTTGTGGTCTTACTTCTTGCTTGTGTTCACAAAGAAGTTTGGCAAGAGTTTCCAGTAAGGAATTGAAATAACATTGAAAAGATTAGAGTACAATGAGGCATGCAAAACGATATGACTAGAATGGCATGCAACCCCTAGCAAGCACTCTGCAGGGCGAACTCTGCCAGTGCAGCAGAAGAGCGGCTTGCCAACGCTGCAGCAGAGCGGTCTGCCAGCGTTGCGCTGCGCTCGGTCTGCCAGCACTGCAGTCGAAGGTGACTATCTGCAGTCGCAGGATACTATCTGCAGTCGCAGGTTGTCTATCTGCGCAGATGTGCGCACCTACCAAGTAGGTGCAGGTTGACGGTTTCACCGTCAGGCACATTGGGCAGGTGCCAGGTAGAAAACGTGTCGTCGGTTTCGCCAGGTGCGCACCGTCGACCACGTGGTGCCGTTTCGCAGGTTGAATTTCGTCAAAACCTCCTGGGCGAAGTTTCGCACACCTCTGCAGAGTTTCGCACACCTCTGCGAGTTCGGTCGAACAACTCGACCCCGCTCGGTCGAACAGCGTTCGCCGAGCAGAGCTCGTCGAGCAGAGCTCGTCGAGCAGAGCTCGTCGACCAGAGCTCGTCGCGCAGAGCTCGTCGACCAGAGCTCGAACGGAGCTCTTCGACCAACGCTCCTCGACGGACCTTGTCGACCATCGCTCCTCGACGGGCCTCGTCGACCATCGCACCTCGACGGGCCTCGTCGACCATCGCTCCTCGACGGGCCTCCTCGACCGCTGTCTTCGACCAGCGCTGCCCGTCGACGATGTCGACCAGATTCCGTCGAGGAGCTTGCTCGACCGCTACCTCCATCGAACTACAGAAGCCCACTTCGACGACCAATCCGTCGCGGACTTTTCGTCGACGGCGAGATCGGTTGCGCCCAAGCGAGGGCGGGGCCTTTCTCTTCGACAGTATTTTTGTCACGTCTGATATCACCTCGTTCGCATTCGAAAAAAAACGTTCATAGTAAACACCCATGACTGAACCGTTGCAGTCCATGCTGGCTTGGATCAAAACAGTGTGGGCATTGATGTTTTAAATGCATCGGTGATGGGATTCCATCAAACCATCGTAGTTGTCGTATCCGGTTGCGATGGTGACGCGATGGCGACTGTCGCGTTCGTATCCGTGCCCGTGATTCACCTGGATCGTTTCACTCACGGCATTCTTTGTGGGATTCCATCACCATCACCTTGCGTTGTCCCACGCTGTCGTGTTGACATGTGATGCCACGTAGTTGTGCCGGTAGTGATGGTGATGGGTGGCGTATGCCGAGCTTGCATCGTTGAACGTGTTAATGATTACCGTAACATTCGGCAATTAACGTTACGATTTCGTGCGCATGTTCGTGGAACTGGCGAGTTAACCTGTCGAGACGCTCCTCGGTCAGTTCCTTCAGGGCAATACGTTCGGCTATGGAAGAGGTGTTAGGCAAGAAACGCGGCTGCGAACAGAGGTAGTGGGCGCCAAGAGACGTTCACCACCCCTCCTTCCCCCCCTTCACCCCCCCCTCCCCCCATACTTGCTGTGACCCTTTCCTAGGCCCGTAGGCCGATCCCAGAGCTCCTCCGACAACCCTCTTCAATATTTTAGGCCTTCGGGTCATGTGCACATTCCTTCGTGCACCTTGGGATTCAAACATGCGAGTTCTGATCTGAAACGAAATGCTTTTGGTGCAATCGAGTCATCTGATGACAATTGCACTGTTGAAGCTTTGAACATCATGACCCAAGGCATGCGTGAACATTATATAGAAAAATAATGGTCATGGTAATAAGAGAAAGTCGGGTGCTCGGCGGACCTAGCGCCAAGGTTGGGACACCGAGACGTAGTGCTGGGTCTAGGGTTACTATTCGGGTCGTGTCTTATGGGCGCAATGGCAGTGATGGCGGGAACAGTAATCCGGACGAATGTCTTCATGTGGTAATGGAACAGTGTTCGTTCGTGGGCGGCAGGCTTGTACACGGTATATGAGGTGACGCAAAGTAAGTAAAAGTTGTTTCCTAACAGATGGTAGATTGGCTAAATATGTATCACTTTACATAGATAAGATGGTGTAGAAGCTTGTACATTTGAGTGGAGGCGCCAAAATAGGTGTTCAGGAACAGCAGGCAAAACAACGATGGACTGTTCCCCAGGCGCGAACTAAATGACACGTCAACCACGTCGTGTGGAGTGGTCCGCTGTCGGTGGAACGGTCCGCGACACAATCACATTTGCGCCTGCCGTGTTTATCGCACACTCATTATACTGCAATTGGGCCGAGTATCTAGCCTGGTACTAGGCGCTGAAACCTGGTTTGGTGTTTGAGACAGCCGTGGATTTGGTTGGGGTTGAGGTACGGAGAGTGATTATGGTTGGTCGATATAGCCCCGGAAAGACGAAGAAAAAGCGGCCGCATTATGATGATTCTTGCCTGGTGGTAATCCGCCAGTTTGTTTAGGAAATGGAAGGAGCATTTGGTACTGCAGGGATTTGTAGTCATACAGGAAAGGATTACTAGGACTAATAATAAAACCAGTCTTGATAACTACCGGAAACCTGACCGGATTGTTTTCAAACCGCGCGACGCGGCCGAGCTACCTAACATCGAACCGCTCCACAGCTACGGCTTGCTGTGGGAAGAAAAAGTGGGTGATCGAGATTCGAGTCGAGAGTCGAGCAAGACACACCGGCGGAGTACGAATGAGCGCAACAAATGTAGCAAGGATGGAGGCCATGGGCGATGGCATCAACTGTGTCGAGCAAGACAGTATCTAGTTGAGCACAGTGGTTGATATCATGCACGACACCACCAGTGGAGTACGGAATACCCATCGTCCTCAACGCTCGATGACAAGCTCATTCCAACCTCTTCAATGCTGATCAAGCGCGACTGGAGAAGACTATTTGAGACTCGGACGAGGAGAGTTGATCTCTACCATACGGATAGTACAACTCGCGGATTTGCGTACAGAGCCGCCATACTAGCTAGTGGCTACAGGAATCCCTTCACAAAAGTACCACGTTCCCAATCACCTCCCATTCCATCCCATCGTTAAGAAATGCGTATCGTTTTCATGGTGCGCTCTTCGGACCTGCTATAGCCTCGTTTGCGAACGATGATCGGGGATGAAGTTTTTTTACTTCGGCTAGATTTTCAGCCTTCCTGTAGCTTGACTCAGATTTGAAGAGGACGTGGCGCCGTAATCTGCGTCAAGCAATTGTCAGCGCGCAACGCGGACGCAAAACACACACTGTTGAATGACTTATGACGCTTGCCCCGCCGCGTCTCACGACCGAGATATATTCTCTACTTCGACCTTCCCATCCGGCCATCATCGCCACGCTGCTTCCGTGCAGCGATGCATCCCCTCTCAACTTACCACTGATAATCAGACTACCCCAGGTACGACTCTACATAGCTTCGCTGCCGCCATGGCTGTCGTCGACAAGCATTCCATGGCGATCCAATGGGTCAAGGCCGCGAGGAAGACTCATCCAAGCGTGACGATTCCAAGAGCAGCCGCTGCTCCATATTCTCATATCCGCAACACGACTTCCGTCGCTGCGACTCGAAACGCTCACCACCGCACGACGAACGGCCCCAGAAGGTCATCTCGCGCTGCTCCTGAAGTCCACCGTGGTGACTACTCAGCAGCACTCCCGATCCTCCGCTCCCCCTTCCTCCTCTCCTCCTCTCGTCTCCTCCCTCTCCTCCTGCTGCTCCTCCTCCCATCCGTCGCAAGTCGCGTACGCGCGAGTCAACTTGCGCCTGTGGCGCCGCCGCCGTTTCTGCCGCGCGCGACGGCGGCCAGTCCGGCCGTGAGTCACGGTCACCGTCACTATCCGTTCAACGGTTCAATAACGTTGTCAATCGCGCGCGTTCAGCTCGCCATGGCTGCCGCAGAAGCCGCGGAGAAATCCGAGCTAGCAGCAAAATCTGCCGCGCGGAGAGCCGCGAGACTCGCCGCAAGCGCCGCCGCCGCCGCAGAGGGCCGGATTTCCGCCACTGGCGAAGCAACGGCCGCGTTTGCGCGTGCATTCGCGGGAATCGCGCCGGGCGTCAACGACTCGTTGGCGGGAAACAATGCGGGGGAGCAAGATGCGGGGGAGGCGGAAAGGGAGGCGGAGGAGGAGGATGATGACGAAGGGAGCGAATGGGATCCCGTGACGCAACCGTTAACGGAAAAGCCGATTCTGCTGGGACCAGGGGAGTTCGTCAGACCAGACGGAACACGCGGAACGCTTCACGGGGGAGGCGCGCCCGGATGGGAGCAGCGGTGGCGGAATCGGCGCGCCGCGGTAAAGGCTGCGTACGGCGGAAGCGGTGGAAGCGTCGGAGGCGCAGCCAGCGGGGGAAGCGGCGGAAGCGGCTGGAGCAGCGGAGCGGGGAACAGCACCGCCAGTGCGGGGACGGCGGCAGCGGGAGGAGCAACATTTTCCATAGCGGGGGCGGCGGGCGCGGCGGGTGATACGCTAGTGCAACCCATGGCTGGCACGCCGGATATTTCGCACACTGCGGGGTATTTTAAGATTAAAGCGCGACGCGACACGAGACTATTCTACTACTACTTCGAGTCGCGGAACGACGCGAGCACGGATCCGCTGGTGCTATGGCTGACGGGCGGCCCGGGATGCAGCAGCGCGTTCGCTCTGTTGTATGAGAACGGCCCGTACCAGCTTGACACTGACGGAACGACGCTTATCTGGAACGACAACGGATGGGACATGGTGAGGCACGAGCCTTGCACAGGCCAGGATAGGCCAGGATAGGCCAGGATAGGCCAGGTGCGCACACCTGCCCCTGGTGCCACTGCCACTGCCATCCCCACTGCCACTCAGAATGCCAGCGCTATTTCTTCTCCTTCCAAGGCCAATCGCACCACCAGCAGTCTCACTCCCACTGCCGCTGCCCCTGTCACAGCGGCAGCAAGCACCGAACCCTGTGCCCTTCCGCTCTCCCCTCCCCATCCACTCTCCCCTCCACTCTCCACACTCCGCAGGCGTCCAACATAATCTTTCTTGACCAGTCGGTGGGCACTGGCTTCAGCTACAGCAACGACCCCCTCTTGACTCCGTTCCCCCTGTCCCCCCTGTCCCCCCTGTCCCCCCTGTCTCCCCTGTCCCCCCTGTCCCCCCTGTCTCCCCTGTCCCCCCTGTCCCCCCTGTCCCCCCTGTCCCCCCTGTCCCCCCTGTCCCCCCTGTCTCCCCCTGTCTCCGCCTTCCTTCGTCCCCCCAGGCATCCAACATCATCTTTCTGGACCAGCCGGTGGGCACCGGCTTCAGCTACAGCAACGACGGGCAGAAGCGCAGCACGCAGCGTGGTGTGAGCAAGGATGCGTACCAGTTCCTGCAGGTATGCACACTCGGTGGGGCGGTGGGGCGGTGGGGCGGTGGGGCGGTGGGGCGGTGGGGTGGTGGGGTGTTGGGGCAGTGGGGCGGTGGGGCGGTGTGTGAGCAAGGATGCGTACCAGTTCATGCAGGTATGCACAGGTGCCATCGTGTTGGGCAGTGGGGTGAGGTGATTGGGATGGCGGGGGTTGGTGGGGGATTGGTGGGTTAGTGGGCTTGGGATGGTGAGATGGTGCGATGGCAGGTTGATGGGGATTTGTTGACCAATTCATCAATCTCCTCCCTCCCACCACATCCTTCGCACATAGCCTCATACACTCATCCTTGTCACCCCCTCCCCTTCCCTCCCCACCGCTCCACTCCCCTCCCCTCCTCTTCCCTCCCCTTCCTCACTCCTCACACCACGCACATGCGCCCCTTCCCTAATCAACTGGGAGGTTCTGAGGTGCCTAGAAGTCTCGTTTCTCTCTTCTGAGGTGCTCCAACAGGCCTTCCTTGACGCGCATCCCGAGCTGCGCACTCGCCCCTTCTTCATCGAGGAGAGTTCTGAGGTGCAAGAAATGCCACTCTCCTCTCGCTCTCTCTCTCGCTCCCCTTTGCTCCCAACAGGCCTTCCTTGACGCGCATCCCGAGCTGCGCACGCGCCCATTCTTCATCACAGGGGAGTCGTATGCGGGAAAGTATATCCCCACGCTCGCGGCACGCATCGTGCGGGCCAACAAGGTTGGCAAGAAGCCGCGCATCAACCTGCAGGTCCGTCTTTGAAGTTAATAAATTGGTCAGTCGTCGGTCAGTCAGTCAGTCTGTCTGTCAGTCTGTCTGTCAGTCTGTCAGTCGGTCAGTCAGTCAGTCAGTCAGTCAGTCAGTCAGTCAGTCAGTCAGTAGGTCAGTCAGTCAGTCAGTCAGTCAGTCTGCCAACCTTCAGCCGCCCTTCTGCCATTATCGTCCCAACCCTTCCCCCACTCTTCCCGCATCCGTACCCGTCCCTTCCTCCAGATCCTTCCTTGACACAACCACCACAACCACCACAGCCTCCATTTCCCCCAACCCTTTCCTCCCTCACCCTATTCCTCCACCCCCCTCCAACCCCCATCCCCATACCAACAGGGTATGGCTATTGGCAATGGATTGACCAGTCTGCACACGCAGGCCATTCCCTATGCGCGGTTTTGCGCTTTCTGAGGCACCTAAGAAATCCCACCAACACCTTCCTCCCTCTCCCCATTCCTCCACGCCTCCTTCTCCCCATCCCACCAGGGCATGGCCATCGGCAACGGCTTGACGAGTCCGCACACGCAGAGCATGAGCTATGCGCGGTTTGCGTACCGGAATAAGCTCATGAGCTACTGGAAGTACCGAGAGCTCAAGGCGCGAGGACGAGCGTGCCAGCTCACCGACCTCATGTGTGGTGGGTGGGATGGGTGGGTGGGTCGGTGGGTGGGTTGGTGGGTGGGGTGACTTGTGAGTCGGTTCAAAAGGTTTGCATGCAAGAATGGGCTCGTGAGCTACTGGAAGTACCGGGAGCTCAAGGCGCGAGGGCGAGCGTGCCAGCTCACTGACTTGATGTGTGGTGAGTGGCTGGGTGGTATGGGTGGGTGGGTGGGTGGGTGGGTGGGTGGGTGGGTGGGTGGGTGGGTGGGTGGGTGGGTGGGTGGGTGGGTGGGTCGGGTCGGTGGGTGCGGTGACTTGTGACTCGACTCAAAAGGTTTGCATACACGAATGGGCTCGTGAGCTACTGGAATTTGCGGGAGGCCAAGGCACGAGGGCGAGCGTGCCAGCTCACCGACCTCATGTGTGGTGGGTGGCTGGGTGAGTGAGGTGCGTGGGTTGGTGGGTGGGCTGGGGGTGATAATGTGGTTTGTTACGAGTCGTCCCAAAACAACGTCGTTATCATGTGGGCGAGCATGCCAGCTCACCGACTCATGTTTGGTGGGTGGATGGGTGGATGGGTGGATGGCTGTATGGAAAGGTAAGGGAATGAAGAATCCATGATGCCATGATGTCATGATGCTATGATGCCATGATGTTTCGGCTATGGTGACAAAAGAGTTCCAAATTCCTCTACTCACCATCGCTGTCACTTCCCTGCTGCGCCTCTCTGTCTCTGCGATCACTTGTCTCTCCCCCTTGTTTCCCTTTCACCACCCTGTTTTCTGTTTCCTGCCCAACCCCCCACGCCTCTACCGGCGCCGCATCCCAGTCCTCACTTCACGTCTCCCAGGGACATTTTTAGTGCACGTGTCACTCCCTTCAAGCCACCCAACGACCTTCTTTTGCGCGCGCTCTCTTTCTCTCTCCCATTCTCTCCTGCACCCGCCCATCCCTGTCTTACCTCCGTGCAGGCACCCAGGGCAAGGTGACATGCATTACAGCGTTCCTAATGTGCGGGCGGGTGGTACCAGATCGTGTCACAGTCTGGCAGTGTCAACGTGCGTGTCCCTCTTGCCCTGCTTGCCCCGCTTTTCCCCCTTCGCCACGCTTCCCCCTCTTTCCCCCCTTGCTTGCCCCGCTTGCTTGCCCTGCTTTCCCCCTTTGCCCCGCTCGCCCCTCTTGCACCGCAGGCACCCAGGGCAAGGTGACGTGCATTACGGCGTTCCTAGTGTGCGGCTGGTACTTCAACCAGATCGTGTCACAGTCTGGCAACGGCAAAATCAACGTGCGTGTCCCCCCTTGCCCCGCTTTACCCCTCTGAGTCACTCATGGTGGTGACTACGGACGGATGGTGGTGCATTCACGATGCACTCATCCATACAGTGTGCATACAGAGGCACACAAGGTCACTCATTCTTTAAGTTTTTTCTCGTCCCAAACCAAGTCGCACTGCAACCATGTAGGGTCGATTGTCACTGTCTGAATTTGCCTTCTCTGTTTTTGCTTAGGATGGATCGTCCAATCATGCGTGCATGAAGGCATGCTTGCATGCACACGCATACGTTCCCCTTTCACATGCAAACCCCTTCGCCTTATTTTTTATTTCTTTTATTTTTTTCCCGTTCCCGTCCTTCTTGTCCGTATCCCTTTTTCCGTCTCTCCTTGATCGTGCATCCCATGCACCCATGCATCCCATGCACCCTATGCACCCCACACACCCCATGCATCCCTCGCACGGCAGTACTATGACGTGCGCAAGCCGTGTGTGTATGACAGCGGCTGTTACGACTTCAGTGCCGGCAACGCTTACCTCAACTCCGCAGAAGTCAAGCAGAAGCTGGGCGTGAAAAAAGAGTGAGTGCATAGCAGGGAGAGCGACTGCACTAAAGGGTGGGTGCACCAAAGGTGAGTACCCCAAAGGTGAGTTTACTGCTCGCACTTGTAAGGCTTTTCAAAGGTGACACGCGTTTTTTCCGCCCTCCCTTCCCCATTTCCCCCCTCCCCTTCTTTTCCCCCTACGCCTCCCTCTCTTCTCTACCTCTCCCCTCTCCCCGGTCACACCCCGTCCCCTCGCCCCCGTACTCGCTCCCTCTCCCCCGCTCCCTTTCCCTCTTTCGCACCCTTGCAGTCAGGTCGGTGGAGGGACTGGGACGGCAGCAATGCTCATTGTATTGTGGAGTCAACTCTACTCCCTTCTCGCCCTCGTTCACTCCCTTGCCAACAGGTGGAGTGGAGGGACCGACAACAGCAATGCTCATTCTTATGTGGACTCAGGCCTACCCCCTACCCCCTACCCCCTACCCCCTACCCCCTACCCCCTTCTCCCTCTTCTTTGAATCTCTTGCTGTCAGGTGGCTGGACTGGGACGACAGCGGTGACCTTTGAGAATTCTCAACAGCGGTGCTTATTATTTAGTGTACTCAAGTCTATTCCCTTCTCGCCCTCCTTTCCTTCCTTTCCTTGAGGTGGAGAGACTGGGACGACAGCGGTGCTCATTCTTCAGTGGAGTCAAGTCCACCCCCTTCTTGCTCTCGTTTGCTCCCCTGCCATCAGGTGGAGGGACTGTGACGACAATGTGTACTTTGCAATGCTCATGGACTTTGAGAGGGATGAGACGGAGCACGTGCGCTATGTGCTTAACAACGGGCTGCGAGTGCTCATCTATGCAGGCGAGAAGGACTTTATCTGCAACTGGATTGGTGAGTGATTGTGTGCGTGTGCGCGCCCGTGCGTGCGTGCGTGCGTGCGTGCGTGGTGGGACCTTTCAGACCCATATCTGCTCTGCTCAATCCATATCTGTTCATACATTGAGGGACAGCATGCCTCTACTCAAGCGAGCTTCGCTTTTCTTGTTCTCCCCTCCCTCCTCTTCCTACTCCCCTCTACTCTCTCTTTTTTCTCAATCCCTCCCTCTCTCATCAGAGCAGGCAACAGCTGGCGGTTGAGAAGTCTCACGTGGACTCCCCTCCCTTTAATTCCTTCTCCCCCCTACACGCTCCTCTCTTTCCCCCATCCCATCCCATCCTCTCATCGGAGCAGGCAACAGCTGGTGGTTGAGAAGTCTCAAGTGGAAGGACCAGGGGGCGTATCGAAAGGCCAAGTACAAGCCGTTCCTGCTGGCAGGCAGTCAGAAGGGCCTTGCCAAGATTGCCGAACCACTCACGTTCCTACGGGTGAGATTCTTTTCTCTTATTGCTGTTGCTGTTGCTGTTGCTGCTGTTGGTGTTGGTGTTGGTGTTGCTGTTGCTGTTGCTGTTGCTGTTGGTGTTGGTGTTGGTGTTGGTGTTGCTGTTGGTGTTGCTGTTGGTGTTGCTGTTGCTGTTGCTGTTGCTGTTGGTGTTGCTGTTGGTGTTGGTGTTGGTGTTGGTGTTGGTGTTGGTGTTGGTGTTGGTGTTGGTGTTGGTGTTGGTGTTGGTGTTGGTGTGGACCAACAGCGGCTGCTGTTACTCCTACATGTTTGTTGTCAAGTTCGTTGTCAAATCGTCATGCTTCCCGTTGTGCCATGAACAGTGTAGTTCCAATGTATCTCCTGCGTGAATCTGCTTATGTTTCTCGTGGCATGGGATTACCTTACCCCTGTGCATCCCCATCTTGCCCATCATACATATGTCCTGCTAATAATGATTGACTAAATCGTTGACCCAGTGTTGTATCTTTATCACTTGCTGCTCCAGGTGCACGAATCAGGTCACATGGTTCCCATGGATCAACCAGAAGCTGCACTTGAAATGTTACGCCGATTCATGGCCGAGGAATCTCTCGCGGGATAATGCCACCATCGTTGCAAAACTTGGTTTGGACTTTTGGTGTATGCGTGCTAATATGCAAGTTTTGATTTATGTGTGGCTCGGGTTGTGTATGAGGAATTAAACAAGAGAATCTTCCAACTCAGGTAATAGGATAAAGCCATGAGTTATCATTTAGCTGATGGCATTTTACTGCATAATAACGGAAGTGTATTTCTTAGTGTGTTCGCTCGCGACCATCGAGATCACTCCATTGGTTTTATGCGCTGTTGCACGTGCCCGCCATGCTCTTATACCGAGATTACATCTGTACACGCAACCAGCTGGAACAATCACCAAGCCTTTTCTGCTGTATCGTCTCCTAGTACATTGTGCGCTTAGGTAGATTGCTTCACCGTAGCTCGCGTGGACTGCCGAAATAACTCGTCCTGTGCGACAAATATAGGCCGATATCAGTGCTGTCCATTTTTCGCGTCCCGTTGTATCGTTAAGTCGGTTTTGAACTGCTCTTGGCGTCGATATGCCTCCTAAGTACCGCGGGCGATTCGGCGGCGGCGCGACCGCCGGCGGGACCATAGGCAGCGCGAACTCGGGACAGACGGGTGTGGAGCGGTTGGAGGAGGTGCTGGACGTGAACCTGCCGCTGCCGCAGGTGACGTCAGCACCGTTCGGGCGCATCGGACCGGCCTTCGGATACGGCTTCGGATGCGGCGCCGGCTTGGGGATTGGCCTTATGGGCGGTAAGACAGCGGGACGGGATGAATTTTGAGTCGACAAAAAAATGCGGCGCCTGCTCTGGGATCGGCCTCATGAGCCGTAAGGGAGGGGGACGGGATGACTTTCGAGTCAAACTAGAAAATGCGTCGCCGGCTTGGGGATTGCCTCATGGGCGGTAAGGCAGCGGAACGGCATGTTGCCTTGGGATTGAGACGACGGCCTAGTTTTGTCTGATTTGATCTCACAGGAAGGCTACTTGGAAATGAATGAGATTCTAAGAAGCATTGATGAATAGTTTTGGCTGCATATGATAGGGAAGCCGCGTGAAGCACTAGTAATAGAAGGGAGCAAACGTAACACCGTTCTCCTTACCTAATATGTCCTTTATACTCGGCTTTTGTTTCTTCATATCTGCCTTTCCATGCGGAGTGCTTTACGGTGAGACGCGATGTCTCCCTTACCATTCATGACCTGTCATCCGCGTATAATCCCCTCTCTCTCTCTCTCACTCACTACCTCACCTTACTCCACCCCCGTCGCCCTTACCAAACCTACACACTGCAGGCCTTGGTTTAGGCTGGGGAGTGCCGGGCCTCAGGCTCGGAATGGGGTTTGGTGCGGGTTGTGGTGTGGGAGTGGGGTTCGGGTATGGAGTAGGGAGGGGGAGGGCGTACGACAGAGAGGGGAACCATACGAATCTGCACGGGGGTTCCAGTTACCTCTACGCAAGGAAATTGACTCCTGTTACGGGTCGGGCTCGGAAAGCTGATACACCACTGTGAGTTACAAGTTGTACTTCATCTACTTTATCCTCTCTCCCTCTCTCTCTCTCCTGTCACTGACATGCATGCACCTTCTCACTCTCCTTCAGGCACACACGTACAACATTTGCATTGAGAAGTTTCCAATGCTGCTCCATGTTTCCCTCCTCACACTGCCACCCACATGCTGTTAAATTTTCTCTCCCAGCCTCTTCCTCCCCTCTTCTTTCCCCCTGCCCCCCCGCACCTTCCTCCTTCCTTCCTATTCCTTCAACGTTCCCTGATCGTCCTGTTGCTCCCATGTACCCGGTTTTTATTTTCTGATTGAATTTAAATATGCAGGGCATCTTTGGCTGTAGGCCGCATGGTGCATGACCTATTTCACGACATCAGAACCTTCTTTGGATCACTGACTGGAACAAGGCCGCACTAACACGTGGTCACATTCATGTCACGTATCGAAACCATTCGACAATCACAGCATTTGTGATCCCATCGGCTCACTTGTGATTCACAATTGTAGCAGTTTGCGGTGAACATACCGGTATATCTCTCTTCAAATTTTGCAGGTAGGTACCGTACATATTCCTACCTAGCCATGCATTTTGATAGAAGGCAATGATTGCAATTTCTCAGGGCTGCCAACTGTCGATTGTAACTTCAGAAAGCTGGGCAATAGATTTGTACGTCCTGCATCCCTACTTACCTCGCATCCTCTACATGATGTGCCGCCATGTCGGATCCTAGAATCATAGCATGCTTATTACAGTAGCCCTGTGACATGTATCATAGCATACATGTTGTGACCCTCCCCCTCACTCAGAATAGAAAGGTGAAATATATCATCAGTGTCTAAACGATCTAAATTCCATCTTGAACCGCCAATTCTGAACGGTACACTTCTACACACCAAATGGTTCCACCACCGTGGAACCCAGGAAAACTCTTCCAGGTGAAATGCTGAAGCGCAGGTGGCGCTGATATGATAGCTGAGGCTTCATAGACGCTGCACCGTTGGATTGATATATTTGACGGCAGGGGGTTGTGTCTCCACGAACGAATTTTGGCGCGCACCGCTTTTCGTCAACAGCAAAACAGTGCACATCTCCTTCCTTCCTTTTGCGCTGTTGTTGCTTGAGCGGCGCTGGCGGGGTTCCACTTCAGGCGCACTGTGATCTGAGTGCTCACCCCGTACAATTCCGCTGGCCTTGGTTTAGCCCGACACTGGAGCATTTTATGTGCCGTGTCGCATTGGCCAGGGTGCCATATGTCAGGAGATAGGCTGAAGGCGTGTTCAATTATGGAACACGAAACTCAGACACCAGAATATTCGGAAGCCTGTGGTGGAATGGAACAGTGTTGAAGCTTACAACCTGCTGCTTACATGCTTACTTGAGAGCAGGGAGCATCCACTTTTAGAAACGCGTTTCGAGCCGCTGGCGCCATTTTTCCTCCATCACCCCTCCTTCCTTCCCCCTTGCGTGCGCAAAGCAAGGTTCCGCCAACATTATTTCCGCTTGTTCTGGCTGCCGCTCACCGCCCCCAACACCTTTCCATCAAAATCCTCCCCTCCCCCCCCACACCTTGCCTGTTCTGATTTCCTGCAGAGGACGGCATCCCGTGGACCACTCCCGACCCGACCCGACATCCTGGGTTCCCCACTCCCTGACCGTACCCGCTCGTTCTCTGCTCAAGACACTGGGCTTCTTGTCTGCTCAGTTGCACAACCAGTTCCTTGCTACTGTCTTTGCTCTCTTCTGCTTCTTACTCTCTGACATCAATCCCTGTCTTGCAGTACTCACTATTTTCCTTTTCAAGTAACCATCACAGCACACTTTTAACGCTGGTTAGTCTTCGTGTTCCACGTGTTTTGACTGACAAGGGAAGATAGGGATACCACCAGCCACTGCGCAAGCCAACTCGACCACCCACCCTCGAACGTACGCGGCTGAACGAAGATTCCGGATAAAGCGTACCGTTAGAGTATTTTCTGACTTCGCTATACTGTCCACCACGGGTCAGGATCGAGTGTACCATTCACGCGCGTACCGATTAATGCGGCACGGCCCGCCACTCCGAAGCGGACCGTCCATGCCGCCGTAGTAGTGAAGCCGCAAAGCTAAGAGGAAGACCGTACGGATTGTTATGCTCAGACAAGATCGAGCTAAGATAGACCGCGACGCGTCCGAGGCGCCCCACAGCATTCGCACGAGCTGACATTCACCTGCGCATTGACTCTGAGACGCGACGTCGCACCCTCACAGCGCACCCTTACGTCCGTCGTTGGATTTTCGAGACGTCTCAAAACTCATTGCAGCCGCACCGCACGCTCTTCCGTCCGTTAAAAGCCCGTCCCTCGTGCCATCCTACTTCGATGATGACTTTGCCTCGTCGAAAGCGTCGGTCCGACAGCCATTCTCGCCAACTCACTCGTTTTTTCCTCCCGCATTCGGCGCTGATGATTCTCTGCTTAACAGCCGCCGCAGCCGCAGCAGCAGCCGTCAGTGGCGGCGACGGCGGCGGCGTTACCGGCGGCGCGGGAAGGAGAGCGCTGTCCGCCGAAGAGGAGGCGCGGTTGGCGCATGCGCGGGTCCGCGCGCAGCAGCTCGTGCGGCTGGGGATCGTTGGCGCGCGCGGAAGAGACGCGCAAGCGGAAGCGGCGCAGCGCAGAGCGGCGGGGCCCAAAGAATACGACCGTCTGCTGGTGAGTCCCGCTACGAATCACGAACCGCCTTGCGCGCACCGAGTCTTAACCCGCGTCGCTCAACTCACTCGGAAAATATGCGCGCGTCCCGCGCCGCGCGGTCGTGCTGAGCCCACATCAGCAAAGAGCCGACGATGGCAATCAGCCGGTGTGTGCGGCGGTTGTTTCCAGCTACAGCTGTCTCGTAGGACGAGCTTTTGTTAACGAGCTTCTGCCCGCAGCACGCCGCACATCGCGCTGCTCACGCCGTTAAAGAAGAAGAAGAAGAGAACCAACACAACGAACGAGAAGCGCCTTGCCCTTCCGCTTTCCTCGCCCCGCGAGTTCCTACCGCATGCGAGGAATACCCGCTGCCAACTTCCCTTCGCCTTCCGTCCATTGTCCATCACCCTCCCACTCCTCTTCCCCTCTTCAAGAAGTTCTTCCCTCTCCCCTCCTCTCTCCCCGCCCCCGAGCTTTCCTGTTTCCCTCCCTACCCGGACGTCCCTTCGCTTTCCGGATCTAAGTACGCACCGCCCGACATTATGTTACAAATTCAACCGCTCTAAACCCAACCCGTCCTTTCCTCTCCCCCCCTCCCCTTTCCCCCCGTCTTTCTCCCCTCCCTCCTTCCGAACGCCCGCTGGCGCTTCGTCTGGGCTCCGCGGCTCAGCGGAAGGCTCTCCGGCGAGCGAAAGCGGGGGACGACTGGTGCCGCGGCCTGTCGGACGGCCTTCATGGGGATGCGCTCGCTCATCCTCCGCACAGGTATGCGCTCCGCGCCACAGGTATGCGCGCAGCGCTACGGGTATGCGCGCCGCACCACAACTATGCGCGCAGCGCGACGGGTATCGAATTCCGCTTCTTCCGCTTTTCTATTTTGTTTTTGGTAGGGATGAAAAATGCGTCTACAATCATTTGACATCCGAATCCCCCATTTCGCATCCCTCACCTTCGCATTGGCTCCCATGCTCCCAATTCACAATCGGACTTTCTTGAAATCACTTTTGAGAAAAATCACGAACCAAGATTCATGGTCCTCTCTTCCATACGACGTCCCCAATGGATCCCGTGTCTCACTCCCTCGCCCTGTGTCTCCTTCTGCCCTCTTCTTTCTGAGCCGCCTCTTCTTTCTGAGCCTTTCTCCTCCTGCTCGTTCAAACCCTGTATGTCCCCTTCGCTCCGACTCCTTATCCGTGCTTCCATCGTCCATTGTACTTCATCAAAATTCCAATCTCTTTCCTCCCCTCTCCTTCCCTCCCCCCCGTTTGCCTTGTTCTCGCCACCAATCGCATGCAACCAGGACATACTTTCGCTGCTCGGGCTATTCGCTCGCAGGAATTCACTTCTGCCCGGGCGCTACCCGTTTCAACGAAGAGAAAGGGCGGTGTGAGGAGGGGAGCGGGGGACTGGAGAGTGCTTTTGCCGGGGAGGAGGGAGTAACAGCAGCGCTCTGGACTGGCAGCACTGGCAGCAGCAGCGACGGCAGCGGCAGCAGTGGCAGCAGCAGTGGTGTCAGCGGCAGCAGTAGCAGCGGCGGCAGCAGCAGCAGCAGCAGCAGCGGGAGTCACTGGGGTTACTATGAGGCGAGTGATACGGATGGGCCTCCTAGGGCTGCTGGAGAAGAACCCACAGAACGCGACGAGCGGATAGCAGGCACCAGGAGGGCGGCTCTAAAAGAAACACCAGCAGGGTTGAATGATCCAAGTTCAAGCCTGACCGAAAAGAGCGGGTCTGGTGAAAGTGCTGAGGCTGGCATAGTCCTGAAAGCAGCTGTTGCCCCTCCTCCTGCTCTTTCTCCCGCTCCTTCTCTGTCTCCCTCGCCTGCTCCTGTCGTCGTGTGGGCGGACGAGCAGGCAGGGGCGGAGTTGAACGCGCTGTTGGCGTTTAAGGCGTCAGTCATCGACTTTCAGGACGCGCTGCGCTCGTGGGTCGTGCCTCGCCACGCCGCCAACTCCTCCATCTCTCCAGATGCCTTCTTCTGCCGCTGGCGCTTCGTCTCCTGCTCCAAACTGACCCCGCCCAAAGCCGCAGCAGCAGGAGCAGCGGCGGGAGCAGCAGCGGGAGCGGCGGTTTCTCGGAGTGTGATTGCGTTGCAGATTCCGGAACCTGGACTGAACACAACTGTAGGGGGCGTTACAGAAGATCTCGGAGTCCTCTTGTCTTCCACTCTGAACGTCACGACCGCCATTGCTACGAGCTTGGCGAACAGCACAAGTAACGGTGACAGCAGCAGCAGCAGCGCGGGTATCCCACCCCTTCTACCGCAGGAGTTTTCATCCCTCACCGCTTTACAGACTCTCACCATCAGGAACAACGCAGACTACCCGGGCATTGCAGGCCTGGTTGGGGCCTTTCCAACGCAGCTCTCCGCGTGCTTGTCTCTGAGCAAACTAGACCTAGCATCCCACCGCATGATTGGAGGGATACCCGACAGCATATCGCAGATCAAGGCCCTCAAGGATCTGAGACTGAGATACAATCTCATCACTGGCAGTCTTCCTACGGGACTTTTTTCGCTTCCCAGTCTCGAGTATTTGAAGCTTTCCTCGAATGCCATCTCTGGGCCGATTCCTCCGCAGATCTCTCTACTAAGCAAGACACTTATGGACCTTGAGCTGTCTAAGAACCATCTCTCGGGCAGCCTGCCCGAGGAGATCGGGCAGCTGAAAAAACTCGGTGTGAAACCGGACTTTGCAGGGATATCCCTCCGCTTCAACAACTTCTCAGAATCCCTCCCAGCATCCATCTCCAACCTCCAGTCTCTGCAAAACCTCGACCTCAGCTACAATCAGTTCTCAGGCTCCCTCCCCCAGGGAGGGGCCTTTCTCTCCACGTTTTCTAAACTGGTCACCCTGCAAATCTACGGCAACCATTTCTCAGGCTCCCTGCCGCTCTCCTTCGCATGCACCACCAGCATCCTCACTATCTCTTTGGGATCCAATCAGTTCTGGGGTACACTGCCGGGGAATCTAGACACATGCGCAATGATGCTGTTAGAGTTGGACGTTTCTAGCAACAACCTCACGGGACCCCTGCCGCCCAGCCTCTGGAAATCTCTCTCTGCCGCTTACATGCTGGGGACCTTGACGCTGAGCAACAACAGTTTTACGGGCAGCCTGTCTCCGGCTTTCGCGGACATTGCATCGCTCGGGCAGATTGATGCCAGTAACAACAATCTTTCCGGCCCGCTGCCTGATCTGAAATCCTGTCCGCTTGCGGCGGTGCTGCAGGGAGTAATGCTGGGGAATAATTCCTTTACGGGCAGCATCCCCCCGGGTTTCATCTGCAAGCAAATGGTTTTTCTAGACCTCACGAACAATTCTCTTTCGGGCGACCTGCCCGACGTCCTGGTGGGGTTAAACAGCGGGCAGGCGAAAAACAGCGCAGGCCCAGCAGCAGCAGCAGTTCTCAAGGCGTCTCCGCGTCTTGCTCAATTAAACATAAGCCACAACAGTTTCACAGGACCCATCCCTCTGGGCGGCAACTGCAAGTATCTAACTCAGCTTTTCCTAGACCACAACAATTTCTCCGGCCCCGCTGCTCCCGAAGCCCTAGCCACGTGCCGCAACATCATTTTCTACGATGCTTCCAACAACCAGCTCTCAGGAACCGCAGCTGACGTGGTTGAGAAGCTTTCCAAGTCGCTTGGTGTGGTGTCGGTTCGGCTCGGTGGTAACCGTATCGAGGGAGAAATCCCTGAGAAAATATATGCTCTGAGTTCTATCAGAGAGCTGAACCTGTCGGGGAATGTGCTCACGGGTTCGATTCCCAGCGCCGTCGCTTCGCTGAACCGGCTGCAGGTTCTGGACGTGAGCGGCAACGGGCTGTCCTCGTCCCTCCCCTCCTCGCTCGGCTCCTTGTCATACCTCTCGCTACTAGACGTCAGCCGCAACGGCCTCTCCGGGCCCATCCCACCTGAGCTCGCCCCGCCCTTCCTGCCCTTCCTCTCTCTCCTCAACGTCTCCCACAACGCCTTCTCCGGCGCCATCCCCTTTGGCTTCTCCAACACCAACACCACAGCCACGGCGCTCGACTTCTCGTACAACAACCTCTCCGGGCAGATCTATCCGGGCAACCTCTCGCTGCTCCCCGCCTCCGCCTTTGCCGCCAACCCCGCCTTGTGCGGCGGAGCCGGCTACCCCGACTGCCCGGCCCCGCCAGGGCAAGCACTGTCGACGGGGGCGGTGGTGGGGATCGTGGTGGCGTGCGTGGCCGCGCTGGCTTTGGCGGTGGGCGGCGTGTGGTATGCGCTGTTCTTCCAGCGCACCTCGGGGCTGGAGGGCGGCACCATGCTCGTGTTTGAGCGCCTCGACTTCAAACTCAACATCCGCTCCATCCTCGATGCTACCGACACCTTCAGCAACAAATACCTCCTTGGTCGGGGTGGCTTTGGCTCCGTCTACAAGTGAGTGTGGCAAGAAAGGGGAGTGCAATGGGTAGTTGTGAGTACTGTTTGGCTCCGTGTACAAGTGAGTGGCAGTAGGGAGGGATGGAGTAGGCATTAGGTAGGTAGTACGTGTGGTGGGTTTTGCTGCGTCTTGCGGCAGGTGTGAGTGCTGCGCTGCTATGGTTGTTTGTCTTTCAGCTGTTTGGCTGCGTCTACAAGTGAGTGCTGCACAAGGGGGGTGCTGTTTGGCTTTTGTGCGCAGTGTATGGGGCAGATGGAGGGAATAGTTGTGGCTGTTTGGCAGTTTGGGTTGGGCCAATGCATTTCCGTGTTCTCTCTTTCGCCCTGTTCCATCCTCACTCGGCCGCCCTCCCTCTTCCCCTCCTTCCCCCCTCTCCCCTCCCTGCAGAGCAACTCTGGCGGACGGGCGGGAGGTGGCGATAAAGCGGCTGGCGCTGGGATCATCTCAAGGGGAGCGGGAGTTTGAAGCCGAAATGCACACGCTGGGAGCAGTGCGGCACCGCAACCTGGTGGTGCTGGTGGCGGCGTACCTCTCCCGCCCGCCCTCCCAGGAGCGCCTTCTCATCTACGACTTCCTCCCGGGCGGCTCTCTGGATCATGTGCTCGACCGCGACATGCCCAAGGGCTCTCCCATGCGCCGCTGGGAGGTGCGGCGCAACATTCTCGCGGGCACGGCGCGGGGCATGAAGTACCTTCACCACAACTGCATCCCGGGCATCATTCACCGCGACATGAAGCCCGCTAATGTGCTCCTGGACGATAACTTCGAGCCCAAGGTCGCTGATTTCGGCCTCGCGAGAGAGATGGACGCTACTAGGTCTCACATGAGCACGGCTGTTTTCGGAACTATTGGGTATTTGGCTCCGGAGTATTATCAACGCGGGCGGCTTTCGTACAAGAGCGACGTGTTTGCATTCGGAGTGCTTGTCCTGCAGGTGATTACTGGAAAGCTTCCTACTGACGAGGATTTCGCAGAGAGAGGGCTGGCGAGGTGGGTGGGAGCGAACCCGATTGCGAACATTGTGGACCGTCGGATCGACGATCGGGATGAGTATATGGATGAGATGAAGGGAGTGGTGACGCTGGGTTTGAGGTGCACGTCTAGAGTGGCGGCCGATCGGCCCTCCATGGCTGAGGCTCTTGAGTTGCTAGAAGAGCTGAGCACGTTTGCTGAGGGTATAAGTGGGGCGAAGAAGGAAGAGGCAGCGGGTGGGGATGCGGAAGGGAAGCAGCAGGAGTAGGAGGAGAGGGGGTGAGTGCGATTTGCGGGAGAGGAGTTTGGTAGTGTGATGGGTAGGGATGGTGGCTCTAGGTAAGTGTGCAGTGTTTGTTTCATAAACTGGGATGGTTGGGTGGGAGGGATGGGGATGTGTTTTAGTAGACGATGGAGCTTCACCTGTCAAATGTGCAGGCAACTTCTTTCCTTGTGTGACATGGGTATACATTAACCAATGGGGAGAAAGGGATGGGGGGAGGGGAGAGGAGGGGGGAGTACATGTTGACGTATTGTTTTCCAAAATTTAATGTAAAAAACGTAGGGAAGTACCGTGATTAATTAGAAGGTTTTACAACACCAGCATGATGGCATCCAAGAGAAGGGAGATTGTTGCAATATATTATAAATTTTAAACATTCATCAAGCGGCGCAAGCAGTGACGAATCCCAGTTGTAATGCGAACGATGTCAATTGATGAGAACAAGAAAGCAAGCTTTTTTACACCACACCATCATTTGTTTGGAACTTGGGCTTACGCATAGTACGAACGCAAATGTCAAATTAACCTAACACGCCACAAGTCAGCACACGCAAACAAACCCAACACCTGATCGTATTTACAGGTCTACCGTACCACGGCTCCTTCAGCCAGCGTGCATGGCTGCCGTACTCGCGCATTCCGCCAACCATAGCAGCAGAGGAGGTGATACCGTACATGATCAGCAGCAGCAGCAGCAGAGCAAGATCAGCATGCAGCAAGAGCAACAGGTACCGGTACCAGGGTTCAACTGGCAGTACTATAACACAACACCGGTCTAAGCGCGCTGGGGAACCTCCTGTCACCAGCCTAGCTGTCACCTCGCCAGGGAAGGAGGCGGAGTGGATGGAGAAGAGAAGTGCGAATAGGCAGAAAGTTGCTGCCAGCATCAAATGTCAGGAAGAATGTGGGCTGCTGCAGCAAGCAGCCAAGCCCAAAAAATCCGTTCATGGCCAGCTCGGGTATGATTGCCTGATCTTGTCTTGACCCTCTTACGTATCTTCCTGCTTCTCCTCCTGTCTCTCCCCCCTGCCCTCATCCTGTTTCTCTTCCTGTCTCTCTTCTTGTCCCTCCTGTCTCCTCCTGTTTCTCTTCCTGCTTCTCGTCCTGTATCTCCTCCTTACTCTCCTCCTGTTTCTCCTCCTTCCTTTCTGATTCTCCTCCTGTCTCTCCTCCTTTCTCTCTTCCTGTTTCTCCTGCTTTACTCACTTCCAGTTTCACCTCCTCTCTCTCCTCCTTCGTCTGCTCCTGTCTCTCCTCCTGTTTCTCCTCCTGTCTCCTACCGGAACCATTCTCTCTCCAAACTGACGACACCTCCTCATCGCCTTCGGCTCCCTCACTTCCTTCCTCACACCCACGCACCTCTAAGCTCTCCCCCCTCCCGCTCCCCCCCCTCCAACTCTCTCCCCTCCCGCTCTCCCCCCTCACGCTCTCTCCTCTCCAGCTCTCCCCTTTCCTCATGCTGAGAGCAAACGTGCTGAGCCCTTCAAGTACCTCCAAAGCCTCAATCATAGAAGGCCGGTCTGCCGGCAAGCGAGCCGTGCACATCACACCCAGCATCACCACCGCCTCCATCTCATCCGTATATTTCTCCCAGTTCTTGATCCGACGGTCCACAATCTCCTCCAGCGGGTTCGTACTGACCCACCTAGATATCACCGTTTCCGACAGGACTTTATCCGAGAGAAGCTTCCCGGAAACTATCTGCAACGCCACCACACCGAACGCAAACACATCGCTTTTAAACGAAAGCCGCCCGCGCTGAACATACTGGGGAGAGAAATACCCAACCGTGCCAAACAGCCGAGTGCTCATATAGGATTTCCCCATATCCAGCTCTCTTGCGAGGCCGAAATCAGCGACCTTGGGCTCGAAGTTATCATCGAGGAGCACGTTAGCGGGCTTCATGTCGCGGTGAATGATGCCCGGGATGCAGTTGTGGTGAAGGTACTTCATGCCCCGCGCCGTGCCCGCGAGAATGTTGCGCCGCACCTCCCATCGGCGCATGGGAGAGCCCTTGGGCATGTCGCGGTCGAGGATGTCGTCTAAGGAGCCGCCCGGGAGGAAGTCGTAGATGAGAAGGCGCTCCTGGGAGGGCGGGCGGGAGAGGTACGCCGCCACCAGCACCACCAGGTTGCGGTGCCGCACTGCTCCCAGTGTGTGCATTTCGGCTTCAAACTCGCGCTCCCCTTGAGATGATCCCTGTGCTAGCTGCTTTATCGCCACCTCCCGCCCGTCTGCTAGTGTTGCTCTGCAGGTGCGAGGGGGTGGGAGAGAGGGAGCAGGGCAAAGGAAAGAACATGGAGGTGGGTAAGAGCCAGCTGCTTTATCGCCACCTCCCGCCCGTCTGCTAGCGTCGCCCTGCAGGGAAATGGGGAAGAGGAAGGGCGGACGGTGGGGAGGGAGAAAGGCGAAAGAGAGAACAGGGAAATGGGTGAAAATGTCTCAATCGCAAACAGCCAAACAGGCAAGCAACTGCAAGCAAAACAGGACCCTCCACGGCCTCCCCCCCGTTTTTTCTGCCACTCACTTGTAGAAGGACCCAAAAAGCCACACCTACTACCTATTGCACCCCTCCCTCCCTTCCTTTCTCCTGCCACACTCACTAGTAGACAGAGCCAAACGGATACACCCTACATTCCGCCCTCGTATGGCACTCACTTGTAGATGGAGCCAAACGGATACACCCGACATTCCGCCCTCGTATGGCACTCACTTGTAGATGGAGCCGAAGCCACCACACCTACTACCTACTGCACCCCCCCTCCCTTCCTTCCTCCCCCCTCACTCACGAGCCAAACAGTACTCACAACTACCCATGGCACTCGCCTTTCCTGCGGCACTCACTTGTGCCGAAGCACCAGACCCTCATTCCCCTTTTTTCTTATCAGTCACCCCCCTCACTCACTTGTATACAGAGCCAAAGCCACCCCGGCCGAGGAGGTATTTGTTGCTGAAGGTGTCGGTAGCATGAACAATGAAATGGGTGAAAATCTCTCAACCACAAACAGCCAAAACAGTTGAAGCAAAACAGGACCCTGCACGGCCTCCCCCTGTTTCTTCTGCCACTCACTTGTAGACGGAGCCGAAGCCGCCACACCTACTACCTATTTCACCCCCAGCCCACCCCACAGCCCAGGCCACTCACTTGTAGACAGAGCCAAAGCCGCCGCGACCAAGGAGGAATTTGCTGCTGAAGGTGTCGGTAGCATCGAGGATGGAGCGGATGTTGAGTTTGAAGTCGAGGCGCTCAAAGACGAGCATGGTGCCGCCCTCCAGCCCCGAGGTGCGCTGGAAGAACAGCGCATACCACACGCCGCCCACCGCCAAAGCCAGCGCCGCCACGCACCCCACCACGATCCCCACCACCGCCCCCGTCGACAGCGCTTGCCCTGGCGGGGCCGGGCAGTCGGGGTAGCCGGCTCCCCCGCACAAGGCGGGGTTGGCGGCAAAGGCGGAGGCGGGGAGCAGCGAGAGGTTGCCCGGATAGATCTGCCCGGAGAGGTTGTTGTGTGAGAAGTCGAGCGCCGTGGCCGTGGTGTTGCTGTTGCTGAAGCCAAAGGGAATGGCGCCCGAGAAGGCGTTGTGGGAGACGTTGAGCAGCGAGAGGAAGGGCAGGAAGGGCGGGGCGAGCTCAGGTGGGATCGGGCCGGAGAGGCCGTTGCGGCTGACGTCTAGCAGGGAGAGGTATGACAAGGAGCCGAGAGCAGAGGGGAGGGATGAAGACAGCCCGTTGCCGCTCACGTCCAGAACCTGGAAGCGACGGCGCTGGGAATCGAACCCACGAGCACATTCCCCGACAGGTTCAGCTCTCTGGAAGAGCTTAGGAGGAAAATGTTCTCTGGTATTTCCCCCTGGATACGGTTACCACCGAGCCGAATGGATACCAGAGGAATGGCGTTTGCGAGCTTCTCAACCACGTCAGCTGCGGTTCCTGAGAGCTGGTTGTTGGAAGCATCGTAGAAAACTATGTTGCAGCACATGGCAAGGGCTTCGGGAGCAGCCGGCCCGGAAAAAATGTTGTGGTCTAGGAGAAGTTGAGTGAGGCGTGAACAGTTGCCGCGACCGGATGGGCCCTGTGAAACTGTTGTGGCTCAGTTTCAGTTCGGAAAACTGCACCAGCGTTGCAATCTCTGCAAAAGCAGGAGATAAGCTGCCCGAAAAACTGTTATTTTGCAGCATCAAGGATAACGACATGTAAGCCTGAGAGAGAGACTTCCAGAAACTAGGCGGCAGGGGTCCCGTGAGGTTGTTGCTAGAAACGTCCAACTCCATAAGGATCATGGCGCAGTTGTCTAGATTGCCCGGCAACGTTCCCCAGAACTGGTTGGATCCCAACGAGATGGTGAGGATGCTGGTGGTGCAAGCAAACGAGAGTGGCAGCGACCCGGTGAAGCGGTTGTCGGTAATCTGAAGAGAAGCTAAGTTTGTAAGGGCTGAGAGGAAAGCTCCTCCCTGGGGGAGGGAGCCTGAGAACTGGTTGTTGCTGAGGTCGAGGTTTTGAAGAGACTGGAGGTTGGAGATGGAGGCTGGGAGGGATCCTGAGAAGTTGTTGCCTCGAAGGGATAAGCCCGCAAAGTGGGGTTCGATCCCGAGTTTTTTCAGCTGCCCGATTTCCTCGGGCAGGCTGCCCGAGAGATGGTTCTGCTTCAGATCGAGGTCCATAAGTGTCTTGCTTAGCAGAGAGATCTGCGGCGGAATCGGCCCGGAGATGGCATTTGAAGAGAGCTGTAATGACTCGAGATTGGAAAGAGAAAAGAGGGCTGTAGGAAGAATGCCGGTAATGTAATTGTATCCCAAATTCAGCTCTTTAAGGGACTTGAACTGCGATATGCTGTCGGGTATCCCTCCGATTATTCGGTGAAATGCCAGCTCGAGTTTGCGCAGAGACGGGCACGCGGAGAGCTGGGTTGGGAACGCCCCAACCAGGCCGGCTATGCCTTGGTAAATTGGAACGTTCTTGATCGTGAGATTCTGTAGGGCGGTGAGGGATGAGAACTCCTGCGGTAGAAGAGGAGGGATGGCCGTGCTGTCACTGCTGCTGCTGCCACCGTCACGCATGCTCGTGGCAATGGCAGTTGTGACATTTGGTGTGGAAGACAAGAGGACTCCTATATCAGCTGTCCAGCCATCGGAACTAGATCCAGGTTCCAGGATCTGCAACGCAATCACTCTCCGAGAAACGACCGCTCCCGCCACTGCTCCCGCCGCTGCGGCTTTGGGCGGGGGAGGGGAGGAGCAGGAGACGAAGCGCCAGCGGCAGAAGAAGGCGTCGGGGGAGAGAGAGGAGTTGGCGGCGTGGCGAGGCACGACCCACGAGCGCAGCGCGTTCTGAAAGTCGATCACCGCCGCCTTCAACGCCAACAGCGCATTCAACTCCGCCCCTGCCTGCTCGTCCGCCCATGGGAATGCAGGAGCAGTCGTAGCAGGAGGAGGAGGAGCAGGCGGAGGCGCAGCAGAGAGAGAGGGCGCAGGAGTATCAGTACTAGTAGTAGTGCCACTAGTGCTGGCAGTGCTATCACCGCCAGTGCTACCACCCACCGGGCCTGACCCACTTATGGTCCCACCGTTTAGTGTTTGCTCATCTGCTGTTCCACCACCTGCCGTTCGCCCATCTGGTCGCCCAGCGGATACTCCTGGGTGCCTTAAAGCCACCCTTCGCGCGCTTGCTTTCGGCTCTTCCTCCTCCACTGCTGCTCCTGTATGTGCTGCTGTTCTGGTGTTGCGGCCGTGGCTACTGGCTCTGCTCATGCCATCGCCATAGCTGCTCCCACTACTGCTGCTGCTGCTGCTGCTGCCGTCTACGCTGCTGCGGCTGCTGTAGACGCTGTTGCTGCCAGTCCTGAGAGCTCCTGCTGCTCTCACCTCCTCCTCCGCAGCAGCTGCACTTTCGGGTTCCTCCCTCCCCTCCTCACACCGCCCTTTCTCTTCGTCAAATCGGGAGGTCCCCGGGCAGAAATAAATTCCTGCGAGCGAGAAGCTCGAGCAGCGGAAGTAGGCCCTGGTGGCATGCGATTGGTGGGAGAGGGAACCAGGGAACAAATGAACAACGAAATAAAGGGGGTGTGGGTGGGGGGAGAAAGACTTGATGCACGAGGCCTGTGTACCTGCGGCGCTGCGCCCATAGCTGCGTGCATATCCCTGGTGCACAGCGCATACCCGTGGCGGTGCGCGCATACCCGCGGTGCGCGCATCCCTGTGGTCAACTGCGCGGATACCTGTGGTCAACTGCGCGGATACCTGTGGTCAACTGCGCGGATACCTGTGGTCAACTGCGCGGATACCTGTGGTCAACTGCGCGGATACCTGTGGTCAGCTGCGCGGATACCTGTGCGGCGGATGAGTGAGCGCATCCCCGTGGAGGCCGTCCGACAGTCCGCGGCACCAGTCGTCCCCCGCTCGAGGCGCATCTCTCCGCGCCTTGCGCTAAACAGCCCGGGAGCGGCGGGGGATGGGCGGGAGGGGGGAGGAAGAGTGGGGAGAGTGCAGGACCCTAAGACCGCGATGATTTTTCAGATTATAATAACAACAAAATTTGCGATGCGGCGATGTCGGAATTATGATGCAGGTCTGCCTTGCATCACAAATTGACGGCGTTCCATTGTATTCTCATTCTCCTTTCTTTGATGATCACCTTGAATAACGCTCCCATCCAAACCACTGGGCCACAAGAGGTTGCTCAGACGCGCAGCGGTATTCCTTCGTGTAGCCGCGCAGACATCACACCTTCACACGCTCCCGCATCTCGAGCGATCGGCGATCCGCAACCAGCAATCAACAATCCACAGAGCGCTTGAGACGGCTCGGAGGGAGGCGCACCGGTGGGATAGCCCGGAGCAGAGTCTGTGGGGGCTGGAAGCGTATTTTCGACTCACCAGCAGGCGGTCGTATTCTCTACGACTACTTCTACGACGCCCCGCCGCTCTGCGCTGCGCCGGAGTTTCCGCTTGTGCGTCTCTTCCGCGGCGGCGCGCGCTTACGACTCCTAGACGCGCAAGCTGCTGCGCGCGGACCCGCGCGTGCGCCAACCGCGCTTCCGCCTCGGCGGAAAGCGGGGCTCTCCTGCCCGTGTCGGAGCTAGTAACCCCGCCGGCGCCGCCGACGGTTGCGGCGAAGGAGGCGGCTGCGGTGGATGTCGCGGAGGACTCCGCCACTGATGCGACGGATGCGGGGAATGCGGTGGCCACGTAGTAGATGATTATTATCACCGCCAGTGGGGGAGCAGCGAGGTAGCAATGCCGGGAACTTTGGCCGCCGCTGAAACGGTTGGGACACACCGTCGCCATGATAACGACGTCTGGGGAACTGCTTAAACTAACGATTCGTACAATTCACTATAGAGTATGTATAAGGCTCGCGGTCGACCTGAAAACAGGGAACTCACACTGCGGTACGTTACTTCCTACGACCTCGTTTATGAAAGCATCTTATCCTATTCCGCCTTTTGCATCTCTTGCTATTACTAAACCGTCGCTCTCCCGTCCGATTAAACTGAATTGCAACATCCGGATCCAAAGCGACGGTAGCAGCGTCGTTTGAAAGAGCATCCAGCGTCGCTGGCTGGAGTAAGGGGTTAGGGGAGCTGTGGCTGACTACCAAGACCGACAAAAGCTGTGGCGCGATGCGGACTTCAGGTAGAGAGAATAGCTTCCCTGGGGAAGACGAAAGAGAGAGTGTACTGTATGCATGCGAGAATTATCAGCTCAGGTGATTGTTTACCTTCAGGTGGATAAGATACACGTAATGCACAATCTTTGCAATCTGGCTCTACCCACCAACACATTCATCAGTTGCCTTCCGGTTTTAGTCGGTCAATGGTATGATGGTGGTTCACATGGGAGAGGAAATTATTAGGAGCCCGTGTTCTTGTCTCTAATTGCTTGTGACGGCGGTTCTGACCACCCCTCACCTTCGAGCTCGCTTCCAATTTCTTTGGGAGGAATAATATGTCATACTAAATCGACGTCATAAGAGGTTTTCTTTTCTTTGGGTCTCCAAATCGACGTCATTTTGGATTCCAAAATAACATGCCATCCGAGAGGGATTTCTTTTCATTGCCATCCTGTTTACGATGTTGAAAACATTGATCTGAACTCAAGGCCTAGCCTCGAAACTAGAACCAGGTATACATTCGGAGTTTTCATTTCATTTGAAAGTAAACACTCCTTCTCCCAAAAGAATCGGATACGACCGCGACATCGGAGCGCATTCAGAACCTTTATCATACGAAATTGAAACAAGAAGACGATTACGTTGATAGTTTCCTTCTCCTTGAAAGAGTTGTGTCCTCGTTGCTGATTGGAGCAGGCGTGTGCATGTTCGTGTCATTTTCGATTGTCCATGGATTTGTGCCGAGGAAGAGCACCTGCGCATTTGCCATCTCGTGAGAGTGGAACATATGCAAGACCAACTTGCAAGTCGGAAGGAATGGCGACACTGATAGTGTTTCGCTAACGTTCGCAGACGTCGACCTCTTCGCAACTAGCCACTCGACCAGTAACATTGGCTTCGTCTGCGCACGTCTACCACGCACATGTCTGTGGAGGTTGATTTGCAGGAGCCTTTCTCGCCGCGTGTTCAAAGTGCTCAACCGAGGCGCGTGGAACACCACGGAATCTAGCCATTCGCGAAAATTAGTATCCCGTGATTTACTCTACCTGAAAATCTTGAATAGGCCAGCTTTCCGAAGTGGGAGGAACCCGCGCAGCTTTCGACACAACCCTGATACTCGCTAAAAGGCCCACATTTCCTCCTCACTCCGGCTATTCGCGTGTCTGCTTGAACAATGTACTTATGGTTTACTCTAATTTTGGATGAGATTCTTTCACCTTCTGCACGGTTACTAGAGCGTCAATCTTTACGTGCAAATTTAATTAATATCCTGGACGTTGAGGATAATAATTTCAATGACACATATAGCATATGGGTCTTACTTGTTCTTTTTAGAATAATGATAGAATATGTTGCCTTAGAGATTGGTAGCGGAAGTCTTGGTGTGATGAGAACCTTGTGCATAGTGAATGTAGATGACAAGATTGGTTAAAATAAGAAATTACAAACAATAAATATATCTAGCTAGCCATGTACTCTAAGGGGTACATTCCCTTACTCTTATAACTGCTTTACATGCATTTCTACAGTAACCCATACTCTTGCTCTTCTCTTGTTATCGGGTCGCTGCATGTAACTGTACAGATAGTTACGCCTGTTGCCATTCTTCGTGTGTAAACGTTCGGTCCAGATGGTCAACAGTCGCGACTGTTGACCTTTGCGACTGTTGACCTTCCTGCCCTGTATGGGCTGATCCGATACTGCTGCTGTTGTTGCTGTCAGAATCAGCAGTAGAACGATAGAACAGAAAAGAGGGGCTTCACTAGTAAGCAGGGCAGTACATATAGCAAACCCTAATTTGGGTTGTACTCACTATAGAGTACCTCACTGCATACTAGACAATTATAACATTCTGACACACCCCCATAGTCAAAGTGGGGTATAATCAGCACAGCAAGCAGTCATAGAGCACGTTCACAAGGACAAGCAAAGCTAGAGGCATTCACAGAGGGCAAGTGAGGAGGAGGAGGGAATGTGAGAGGAGAGGAGATGGGAGGCGACGACGGAAGCTGCAGACACACGGTAGCGGCTGGCTCAGTGGCTACCGAAGCAAAGGCCCGGACTACAGGAGTAACTGGCTCTGCGGCTAACTCTGAGCGGCTGGAGCAACTGACCCACGGGCGACTGGCGACTACCGGAGATTGTAGCCTCCGGACTACTGGCGCTGCTGGCGACACGACAGCTCAACCTCCGCTCAACCTCTCCCAACTGTCCCACCCCCCTTTCACACACCCCTTGCTGCACCCCTAGCTCCACTCCCACGTCACCCCCCTAGCACCACTCCTTCGGCTCCCACACACCCACCCCTTTCAGCGGCAGCTGCAGCAGTGGGAGACGGAGGAGGAGGAGGAGCAGGGGATGGCTCACACACCCACAACCCCCATACCCACCACCCCCATACCCTCCAACGCAGGGCAGAAACGCGGGCAGCAGGTGGGGCGGCGTGTGAGCTGAAGCGGGGCGGCGCGCGGGCCCCCAGGGCGCCTCGACGAGCGACGGGAGGGGGCGACGCGCGGGCCCCCTGGCGCCGCGACGGGCGACGGGAGGGGCGACGCGCGGCCCCCCAGGGCGCCGCGACGGGCGACGGAAGGGGCGACGCGCGGCCCCCCAGGGCGCCGCGACGGGCGACGGGAAGGGGGGGCGACGCGCGGCCCCCCAGGGCGCCGCGACTGGCGACGGGGCAGCGCGCGCAGGTTCCCGGGGGCGACTCGCGGGTCGACGGGGGCAGTGCGCGGGTTGACGGGGAGGGACGCGCGGGTCCCCGGGGGCGGCGCGACGGTCGACGGGGGGGGACGCGCGGGTCCCCGGGGTGACGCGTGAGGCAGCAAACCGCCGCGCGCCTCAGGGCGCACGGCGGACAGAAAACCGCCACGCGCCCCGAGCGCGCGGCGGGCAGAAAACCGCCATGCGCCCCGAGCGCGTGGCGGGAAGAAAAAACGTCGCGCGCAACGGGGCGCGCGACAGACAGGATAGCAGCAGAAGCTAACGGTGGGCCCACAGGCAAGGAGCGTAACCGCTCTGATAGCATGTCACAATAGCAAGAAGAAAGTTAGAACAGAGAAGAGGGGTTTCACTAGCAAACATTGGGATACATATAGCAAACCCTAACAGGGCTGTACTCACTATAGAGTATCCCACTGCAGACTAGAGAAATATAGCATTCTGACACACCCCCATAGTCAGCACAGCAAGCAGTCATAGAGCAGGTTCACAAGTACAAGCAAAGCTAGAGGCTGTCAAAGAGGGCAAGTGAGGAGGAGGGACTGTGAGAGGAGAGGAGATGGGAGGCGACGGCGGAAGCTGCAGACACACGGGAGCGGCTGGCTCAGTGGCTACCGGAGCAATGGCCCGGACTTCAGGAGTAACTGGCTCCGCGGCTACGCCGAGCGGCTGGAGCAACTGACCCACGGGCGACTGGCGACTACCGGAGATTGTAGCCTCCGGACTACTGGCGCTGATGGCGACAGGACGGCTACCTCCGCTCAACCTCCCCCAACTGTCCCACCCCCCTTTCACACACCCCTTGCTGCACCCCTAGCTCCACTCCCACGTCACCCCCCTAACACCACTCCCTCGGCTCCCACGGGCAGGGCGTCGCGCGGGCCCCCGGGGCGTCGCGACGGGCAACGGGAGGGGGCGACGCGCGGGCCCCCAGGTCGCCGCGACGGGCGACGGGCAGGGCGGCGCGCAGGCCCCCAGGGCGCCGCGACGGGCGACGGTATGGCAGGGGCAGCGCGCGGGCCCCCAGGGCGACGCGACGGGATCGCAGGGGGCGCGCGCGACGGTCGACGGGGGGGGACGCGCGGGTCCCCAGGTTGACGCGCGAGGCAGGAAACCGCCGCGCGCCTCGGGGCGCACGGCGGGCAGAAAACCGCCATGCGCCCCGAGCGCGTGGCGGGAAGAAAAAACATCGCGCGCCACGGGGCGCGCAACAGACAGGACAGCAGCGGGAGCAAGTGGGCCCACAGGCCAGGAGCGTAGTCGCTCTGATAGCATGTCAGAATCAGCAGTAGAACGATAGAACAGAAAAGAGGGGCTTCACTAGTAAGCAGGGCAGTACATTTAGCAAACCCTAATTTGGGTTGTACTCACTATATAGTACCCCACTGCAGACTAGACAATTATAACATTCTGACAGTTGCTTCGGTAGTAGCGGGTGCGATACAGCTTCACCTTCGGGAATGCTTGATTTGATTCCCGCTAACTCCAACACTCCCCTTCATTCCTGGAGGTGCGCCACATGGCTCTTCTTGATGACTCCGCACAGGTCCGCGCAGTACTGTAACTTCTGACGAACCCCCGTAGCGTCGAGGGCTGGAGCAGGTGTTGTCTTGTATGAGCGAATGCTCAATTGCTCCGTGGGCGACATATTTCGCAGAAGAACCCCGTACGCCATCAGGGACTCGTTGTAGTACCTTGCCTTGGCGTCGTCGGTGTCTTCGGCGGGTCCCGAGTAGCTCCCGTCGAAATAGTGGAAGAGCTGTGCGTTTTGCAGCAGCAGCTCCAACTCGAAGCTCCACGTATAGAAGTCTCTGCTGTCAAAGCACACACTTGTCTTTATTTTTGATATGCTCAAAAACCTTGATTGCGCAGAGAGAATTGCCTCTTTGCTGGGACGGGGAGTTTTGGGGGTTGAGCCATTGGTGTCGAGGGAGAAGGTATGCGGGGCGGTATTGTGGCCGTTCGAGGCCAGTTGAGAGGGTTGGGAAGAAGTTACCGCGTCGCCGTTCCGCAATGTCTGGAGTTGTTGCTCCAGGCTGGTGAGTCGCTGAAGCATCTGTGCGAGGGCGGCGATTCCAATCGTCGTCGTTTCCTCGCTTGTCGCAGCCGGGTTGGTCTGCGCTTCAGCCGTCAGATTCGTCTGACCACCAGATCCTCCGGCCATTCTCACGCGTGAACGTGTGCCGGACGCCACTTTCCGATCGCCGAAGATTTCGGTGGTGGCGGTGCGAAGGATTCCTGAATCGCTCTCATACCATGTAGCGATCAGAAGTTGATCGTGCCTCGGATCACCTCAGGAAGGTTCGCACACGACTGAGTAGTGGTGGTGGGCCCGTGACCTCAATAGCAGAGTGAATATAAAATGCTTGAGATGATAAAAACATGCAAATACAGCACTATAAATAAGACTACAAGGGAATACCAATCGACCTAGCTAGCCATGGACTCTAAGGGGTACATTCCCTTATTACAGCGAAAAACAACCGTGCGACTCCAGACAGTTACGAAACTGTTCGGGCAGAATCCTCGCCACTGCTGCTGCCTGATGCTGTCTGCCCGACGATCCAGATCATTTCGTAACCGTACGACCCTTCGCGTCACTCCCGTCCTTTCGTCTTCATTCTCGATAGTGTGTGCTTCGATTGCTGCGGTAAGGAGTGATACTTCAATAGTCACTATTCGTTACAGCAGGTGCCAGGTAGAGGACGTGTCGACAGTTTCGCCAGCCGTGCACCGTCGAGCACGTGATGACGTTCCGCAGGTTGACTTGGCGAAAACCTCCTAAGGCGAAGTTCGCGCACATCTGCAACCTTCGCAGTCGAGCAGCTTCGGTCGGCTGGTTCGACGCTACTCCGTCGAACTGCATTTGCCTAGACGAGCTCGTCAAGTAGAGCCCGTCGACCAAAGGTCCTTGACGGAGCTCGTCGACCAGCGTCCTCTGCGAGCTCGTCGACCAGCGTCCTCTGCGAGCTCGTCGACCAGCGTCCTCTGCCGACGACTTCTGCGGACTGGTCGAGGTCGAACTCTGCGGACGGGTCCACGTCGAACTCTGCGGACGGGTCCACGTCGAACTCTGCGCGCAGTCTGCATCGACTTCTGCGCGCCCCTCGACTGCAAAGTCTGTTTCGCCCAAGCGAGGGCGGGGCCATTTCCCGTCAATAATCAGATCAGTCGCGATCAAACTCGAATGGGCCCACGTCTTTAAAGCCCGCAGCCCAAGTTGTTCAACCTTACTAAGGTTGACCATTGGGTGGTGGGGGAGGTGGAGAAAGAATAGTCGAGGTGTTGGGGGGGTGGGTGTAGTTGGTTTCGCCCAGATTTTCGCCACGCTTTGTTTTTCTTGCTGACTCAGCAAACACCAGGGGCCAGCTCGTGTTCAGTTGCGAGAGTCCCATGTTGCACAGATAATAATATTGAAAGTTCCCCCCTGCTCACGTTTCGCGAACTCAGTGCAAGTGCGCTGGCCAATCAGATTTCTTCTCACAATCCGTAACCCTAATTCGTGCAAGAAAGAAACCCAAAGCAACCCTCGATCAAGAATAGTAAGGTTGACCAGCGCGACCCGCAACTTAGGCTGCGGGCTTTAAAGCAGCAGTATACATTTGGCAGGGAGATTGCCAAAAGTTTGGTACATGGTGGAGGCGAAATTGTGGGGCACACTGTAAAACCCTGAACCCCGCTGTCAAATGTATACTGCTGCTTTAAAGCCCAAGACCTGAATTGCTCAACGCAAGTCAACGCGGGGCAAAACTGTGGGCTACGGCAGGGAAGCTGTGTAGAGCTTGCCTACTCAACAACAATTTGATTCATATGAGCGAAACAAAATGGATTCTGATTTTTTTGCAGTGTGATTGGGTGTGACTTTCAACCCAGACTTCCACCCACTCGAACTCCCCCGTACCCGTTTCGTTACCAGCCGTACAGCTTCACATAGCGACCTTACATTGGTACTACCTCCCCCAAAGTCGCCTCCCTCCACCTGGTTCAAAACCTTGAACCAGGTACTTCCCTGACGACGTGGTATTTTGTAAGTGGTCAGATTTTGGTGGTCCCATCCACCTCCCCGCAGATTCATTCTGCGGTTGATCCAGCCAGGTGTGTTGACCTTCCACCTTCAATTCAACAAAACTCACTCCCTCTCACCCACAGCTGCCAGTACCCGCCTTGGGGGAGAGAAGATTGGACTACATATTTATTTCAACATCCCCGTTGGATCGAAATTCGAGAATTTGAAGAGTTTAGCAAAACTTAGAGAATTCAAGGTTTTGCACCAGACCTCGCGCCACACAGTTCTTGTTTGCCCATGCTCCTAGTACACTACTGTTGTTGATAGGAATATTATCAAGCTAGACTAGCCATTTTTTTTTACCGACTTCCCCGCATGCTTGGATGTTACCATCACACATATTGTGGCGGTGAACAAGGGGAAATGGAAGTAGAATCGCTGCATGCATGATTCTAAATTGCGGCGCGGAAGAATCGAACCGCATTCCTAGAAAAATGCCTTCGCCCCACAGCCGCTTTCCTGTTCTCCCCCCACACCACACCAAAACATAATGCACCACAACAAACCACACCACACCACCATCCCACAAATACGCCCACCTCACACCTCCACCCAACCTCCAAGTTCCAACCATCCATCTCACACAGCCACAACTGTGAGCTCGTCGCCAGCTCACTATCACCCTCACGCGACCCACAGTCCCACCTCCCTGTCCCCAATACCTGTCGGCATGCAATGCAATGCAATTCAACTCGGCCTCGCAACGCAACAGCAAGCAAGCAACCTCCCTCGTTCGAGCCTCGGTCCAAGTTCCAGCCTCCGCCAGCCTTGTCCCACCGAGATGAGGTCGCGATCCGCGAAACGCGATCAGAAATCGTCCAGGGGGAAATTCAGGAGGGACAGGCGAATTCGGCGATATGTACCAGCTAGTGCAGTAACAGCCGCAGGTACTGTGGTAAGAATATCATGTTCGCGGCTGTATGCAGACAGCGAAGCACCGGAGGGCAGGCCACTAAGCAGCAGCGAGGAAAATAGCCGCTCTTCAAACACCCACTGCACTTACCCTACAGATAGTCTCGACGTGACAACTCATTCAGGCTGGTGACTACTGTACGAGGGTCTACTAGTAGCTTCAGAAACTGAAACGGCCCTTTCACAGAGTGAAACCGCCCCCAAAGCCGCGCTTGACTACTTGTTACAGTGCGTACTACACCGTGTACAATACATTGTGGTCAAACGCTCGAGTTTATCCAGGTCGTATGATACTTCACGAGCAGTTTTAGACGGTGTATTCTCCTCTCACCTCGTGGTGTTACTAGTAGAAATTTCTCGCCTCGGTCTCGCCTTGGTCTCGCATTGGTCTCGCCTTGGAGGTGACAGGCCACTGGACCACTGGAATCCGATTCAGCACCACAAGCATAAACGGGAAGCACTGCAGCGGCAGCAGCAGCGGAATCAACGCATCAATATGGCAGTGCCGCCGAAACGCGCTCGCCGCGGCGGCGGATCCACGCTGCGGCACGCGCTTAATCCTCTCGCGTTCCACGGTGCTACCGGCAGTGGCAGTGGCGGTGGCATGACCACGGCTGTCGCGGCAGTCGCGCTCGTTGTCGCTGCTCTGGCTTCCATGGCTTCCGTGTCGTCCGCGGCTCCCCTCCCCGTCAGTAAGTCGACACTCCAAAGGGATCGTGAAGGGCGGAGAGCGGTCGGGTGAGACAGAAAAGGTGACTGGCAGTAAGGAGAGGGACTGGGCGGATTGGGGCGCACAGGGGTGATTAGACGGACTGGGCTGCATACTGGGTCACATTGGGGCGGATTGGTTCTGACTGTCACTTGCTCGTCATCATGATATGATCAGCCCCAATTGCGTTCTGACTGTCACTTGCGCCGTTCACAACTCCTTGTCTGTTGCCCCTTCACCCTTCTCTGCTCTCCAAGTATCAACTCTTAATCAACCTTTCCTTCTCCCTTTTTCGCCTCCCCTCCCCATTCCGCGCCCGCTCCCCCGCCCCAATTCCCCGCAGATGGCGCAATTCGCCCCCCCACACGCGGACCCTGCTCCACCGCCTTCCAGACCCTCTCAATCACCACTCAGGAGGATTTTAATCTCCGAACCACCTACTCCAACACCACCACCGTCGTCCTATACCTCACCGGAAACGTCACCTTAAACTCCACTTTATTCTTCACCTCTAACTTCTCCTGCTCCATCATCCGCGCGCTTCCGAGCCTCTCCTACATGCCTTGGCTCTGGTACACGAGAATCAACGCGCCGGCTGTACGCGTTTTAGGCGCGACCAACGTGCAGTTTATCGGGATTGGGATCGGGTTTCCGTTCCATTACACTTCGGCGGGGATGGTTGCGTGCGGCGGGTTACCCGAGTTCCCTAGCAGGTGGACTTGCCCGGTGCTGCATCTCTATCGTGCCTGGGCGGTTACCTTTGCTAATGTAAGTTACGGTGCTATAGAGAATTCTCAAAAGCGAGTTTCCCAGTAGGTGGACGTGGCCTGTGCTGCACCTCTATCGCGCGTGGGCGGTTATTTTCGCTAACGTACGTTGCTTTCGCGTGCTTTCGCCTGACTTTCGTTTGCCTTCGCCTCATATCCGCCTGCTTTTGGGAGCCCATTTTTTTGTGATGCATGCCCCTCTCTCAACTCCGCTCCTCACCTCCTCTCCTCCTCTTCCCCTGTATCCCTTTCCCACCTCCATCCCTTGTTCTCCCTTCCGCCTTCCCTCCCAGATCCCTCACCCTCGCCCAGGGTCGCATTCACGGGCGCACGGATGTGTACCGGTCAGGGGCGACGGAGTTCAGCTACATGAAGCTGTGGCACGACTACTACGACCGCGACCTCGTCTTCCACAGCTGGAGCCGTCTCCTCTCCTCTCACCTCCTCTCCTCACCACCTTTTCTCCTCCCCTGCATCCCTTCCCCCTTCCCTTCCGCATCCCCTCTGCCCCACTCCCTCTTCCACTCCCTCCTGCCTTCCCTCCCCCTCTTTTTCCCCCTCTTCCCGGCCTCTCTCTCTGTCTTCTCCCTTCCAGGGTCGCATACACGGGCGAACAGATGTGTATCGGTCAGGGGCGACGGAGTTCAGCTACATGAAGCTGTGGCACGACTACTACGACCGCGACCTCGTGTTCCACAGCTGGAGCGTCATCCGCTTCGCCATGTGCGGGGACCCCGTCAACCTCATCCGCTCCCTCAACCGCGTCACCAACTGCGAGATCCGAGGTGCGCTGGGGGGGGGGGGGGCGAGGTGGGCGGGGGGGGGATGGGGTGAGGTGGGAAGGGGTGATGGGGGCACGGTCGGCAGCATCTTCGCCAACAACTTTCGTCACGGACTTCCAGCTCAAGCTTTCTCAAGCTTTCTCAAGCTTTCTCAAGCTTTCTCCCCCCCTGCCTGCTCTCTCTCTCCCTGCTCTTGCTTTTCTTCCCTCTCCTCCTACACCCCCCAGGTTCCTGGAATCCAGTATAGATATACGTGGGTACAGTTGGCACCACCATCGCAAACAATTTCATCACAGACATTCAGCTCAAGCTTTCCCCTTCCTGCCTGCTCCTGCTTCTCCTGCTCTCCCTGCTCTTGCTGTTCTTCCCTCCCTCCCTGCTCCCCCCAGGCTCCTGGACCCCGGTATAGATGTACGCGGGTACTGTCGGCACCATCATCGCCAACAGCTTCATCACCGATTTCCAGTTCGAGCTTTCCCCTTCCTGCCTGCTCCTGCTGCTTCCCTGCTCTCCCTGCTCTTGCTGTTCTTCCCTCCCTCCCTGCTCCCCCCAGGCTCCTGGACCCCGGTATAGATGTATGCGGGTACTGTCGGCACCATCATCGCCAACAACTTCATCACAGATTTCCAGTTCGACCTTTCTCTCCCTGCCTGCTCTTGCTGCTTCCCTGCCCCCCCCCAGGCTCCTGGACGCCAGTTCTCATGTATGCGGGCACTGTCGGCACCATCATTGCCAACAACTTCATCACAGATTTCCAGTTCGGGGGCGTGCAGTGCGGGCAGGGCGACGGGAACGTGGCGGACTGCATGTTGAACACGATTCAGGACAACATCATCACGGCGGAGAGTGCCATCTACCCGATACCTAATGGAGACGGGTCCGGGATCTACTACGATCTCCACTGGTACAACCCTGGTGCGTCCCTTCCTGCTGTGCTGGTGGATGCTGCTTGAGGCGCCTCATTAATCGCCGTCTATCTGGTGATTCATGGTGGTGGAGGGAAACCACTCTCCACCACTCTCCACCACTCTCCACCACTCTCCACCACCCTCCACCACCCTCCACCACCCTCCACCATTGCTGATCACACCTTCCCAAAACAACCTGGACACGTGCAACTACATCATTGCGAGCACGCACTGCTACTACGGCGACTGCACTGCATCGATTGCTGACCAACCCCCCCCTCTCATCCCCTCCTCGCTCCCACCTGGCCCCTTTTCCCATCACCCAACCCCCATCAGGAAACCTGGACACGTGCAACTACATCATTGCGGGTACGCACTGCTGCTACCTCAATTGAGGAGCTGACACCCACATTCGCTGCCTCCCCCCCCTTCCCCCTTCTCCTCCCTCCTTCTCTCCCTCCCTCCAGGCAACCTGGACAGGTGCAACTACATAATTGCGAGTACGCACTGCTACCACCTGGACTTCGCAGTTACGACCTGCACTGGCATAACCCCACCATTCCTCATCCCCCATCCCCCATCCACCATCCCCCATTCGCCCCTCACCAGGCAACCTGGACACGTGCAACTACATCATCGCGGGCACGCACTGCTACTACCTCGACTTCGTCACATCAGGGCTCACCATTGACGGCGCTGTGTGCATCCGCAACCACGACGGCGTCAAGATCAACACAGGCCACGCGTGAGTGCTAGCAGCCTATCTTTGAGACATAGGGGGAGTTACAGTAGCACGTTTGTAGAAGCCTGGGCTCACCCTTGATGGCGCTGTGTGCATCCGCAACCACGACACCGTCAAGATCAACACGGGACATGCGTGAGTGGCGTGGCAACGCCACACCTCCTCCCGCTTTCCTCCACCCTCTTTCCTCCACTCTCTTCCCTCCTCCCTCTTCCCACCTCCCCCTTCCATCCTGCTCTTCGTTCACCCTTCCTTCCTGTCACACTCTTCCCTGTTCTCACTCCTTAATCCGCCCTTCCTCCCTGCCTCTCCCCGCTCTCCCCACAGCAACAAGATCCAGAGTGTGATTGTGGTGAAGCCACTGTGGCAGTCGGGAATCATGAGCTGCCAGAACTGGTGTGACAACAACTGCCACTCCTGGGCGGGCCGAGGGCTCTTCTTTACGCCCTCTTGCCTCTTCCTTTCTCCCTCCCTCTCCCCGCTCTCCCCACAGCAACAAGATCCAGAGTGTGATTGTGGTGAAGCCGCTGTGGCAGTCGGGAATCATGAGCTGCCAGAACTGGTGTGACAACAACTGCCACTCCTGGGCGGGTCGAGGGCTCGGCCACAAGTGGTACACCACCTTCATCTCGCGCTTCGAAACGCCTGGCTGGCGCAAGGTACGAGACAGATGCTGTTTCCCGCTCTTGCTATTCTTCCTCCTCACGGCAAAGGCTTGTCAGAACCGGTCTCTTCCCCTCTGTTTCACTTCCCACTCTCGTGTCCCTCCTTCGCTCAGCCAACCAGCCACCGTGTCTACACATCCACCCCACTCCACCGACCCCCCACCCACCTCCTCCCCCCCCCCCCCCCCGGGCCCCCCAAAACGCCCCCTATCCCCCCTCTCCCAGAACTGGCCGTTCCTTTTTGGATCCGTGCCACCTCACGGAGTGGGCGCCAGGCATCAAGACTCGCAACCCCAACTTTTTAATTGTTCCCCCTCATCCTCCCCTCCCCCGTCCCCCCCACGCATCCTCCTTCCCTTCTCCCCACCTCCAGAACTGGTCGTTCCTTTTCGGATCTGTGCCACCCCATATCTCCACCTGATCATCATTCCTTTCCCCCCCTTCACCCCTCCCCCCCCCCCTCCTCTACAGAACTGGCCGTTCCTATCGGATATGTGCACTCGCACGGAGTGGGCTCCGGGCATACCATGCAACCCCTCGCCTCCCGTGGAGGCCGCCAAGAACTGGACCGGTTACTTCTCCACCCGACCATCATTCCTTTCCCCCTTTCCCCTTCCCCCCTCCCCCCCCCCGCTTCCTCCTCCTTCCAGAACTGGCCGTTCCTTTCGGATATGTGCACTCGCACGGAGTGGGCTCCGGGCATACCATGCAACCCCACGCCTCCCGTGGAAGCCGCGAGGAACTGGACCGGTTACTGCTCGCAGCACCTGGCCTACAACAACGGGAAGCAGCTCTCCGCGAACGCGAACGTCACGGCGAATTGCAGCGGCGTTCCCGGGCTCAACCACGTGGAGATGATCGTGATCAACGGGACTGGCGGCCGGTGGAATCCGTACTATATCAACTGCGACGCGCTGCCGTCCGTCCGGCCGACGAATAACATCACCACCACGACGATTAACTACCCCTGGGGTTTCTTCGATTTTGACAACGTTACGGGCGAGGATTTCGGCGTGTCGAATCTAAGCTCGCGGATGTATCAGCTGTACCCGCAGTTTATGACGTGCAGCAGGAGGAGGGCGGGAATCCAGCGCCAAATGCGGGCGTTATCCGCGGCCGCGAGTACTATCCAGTCTTCGTTCGGAGTTAACCCTGCCTCATGGTGGCACGACGTGTACTCCTCAATTCCTTACAATAAGGAAATGAGCAGCAGGATTGTATCGGAGAAGCTTCTGAAGAGGATAAGCACGAACCGTCCGCGGCAGAACCCAGGGCAGAAAGACAAGAAACCCGGGAACGGCGGGATGGGATTCCAGATGCCGAAAATCCCGATTGGAGGAGGAGGAGGTGGTGGGAGCAAGGGAGGGTGGTCAGTTAGCAACTGGTGGAAGAGGCGGAAAACACTCGAACGCGGAGCTGGCTATGCTGACGCTGATGACGTCGAAGGGGAGGAGGAATCCGTTGAGCAGGAGGAGTTATACGAGGAGTTCGATGCGCCGAACAACGGGGAAGAGACGCGCCACGAGCATTTCAATGTGCTTGAGTATGATCCCTATGCTGGAGGGAACGACAGGCTCGGGGGAGATGCTTTTGACCACCTGTGGATATGATTTGAATGGCCGAGGGAATGTGCGAAATATCCGTTTTGCAAGTTTCGTTTGCGGCTATAGGGAACCGTTTCGCAGCCACCTGTGAGCTAGTTTTCTGTCCTCATGTTTCCTTGCTGCTTGTTTGTTTTCACGTTTATACGATTGTACTGTAAAATAATAATAATCACAATATTTCCACACTTCGTGATTGCATGAAGAAACATGGGCTTCCATCTTTTATTCTTGCACGTATTATATTACGGTATGAACGGAAGAAATATGATTTCTTCAGTCAGCCAAGAAAGTGAAAATGGAATCCTATGCATATTACCACTTCAAAATTACCATACCCTCGAATTACCAACATAATACCCTCCATCCACCATACACAACGGAAACCTCCAATGCGCAGTAGCCAAACACAATTACAGTAAAGCCCATATGCATTAGGAGAAACTGTCTACTAGAAACTGTCGACTGATATCAAGTTACGGTGATACCCGACCCCACACCCGCTCATTCCTGCTGGAACACCACACCAGATACACTATACTCCAGCAATTCCAACCCGGCAAGCAACCCAACCCACTATTTCCAAGTGGACCCTCCCAGTCGAATCATCTCGTCGTCCCCTCTCCCCCTGTATCCCTGTGACGGCTGCGCCTCCTTTTTGCTCCCTCCATCCCCATACAGATCCCTCAGTTTCTTCAGCTGGTCCGAAACTACACTCTTCTTCTCCTCTTTCTCTGCACTCCTCTCCTTTGATCTCGAGCGATCACGGCTGTCCCTCCCCCTTTCCCTTGACCGCTCTCTTGACCTCCCCCTCTCCCTGTATCTGTCTCTCTCCCTATCTCTCTCCCTGTCCCTGTCCCTGTCCCTGTCCATATCCCTATACTTGTCCCCATCTCTCTCCCTCTCTCGATCACGGTACCGATCTCTATCCCTATCCCTGTCTCGGTCCCTGTCCCGGTCTCTATCCCGATCCCGATCCCTATCCCTGTCCCTGTCCTTGTCCCTGTCTCTGTCTCTCTCCCGGTCCCTATCCCTGTCTCTGCTCGCCTTATCCCTGTCATCTGTTCTCTCAGGCGTGCGTTTCGGCCCACCACTGCCACTACCACCACCAGTACCACTGCCGCTCTTCTTCTCATCCTTCGATCCCATTCTGGTTGACGCTCTATGGGGAGCCCTCTGCCCAAACGCTACAGACAAGGCAGCCTTCACCGAGGGCGGCCGCCGGGCGGCGCTGTCGTCTGCACCCCTTCTATCCGCTGATGCTGCCACGCCTGAGGGCTGGGTGGGCAGATTCAGAGCCTCAAGATTGGAGATGATCTGACGGCTGATGAGCACTGGGATGCGGGGGAAGAGAGAGTCGAAGTAGTACTGGGGGGAGAAGGAGGGGAAGAGGGGAGGAGAGCAGCATGGAGGGAGGGGGGGGGAAGGGGGCAGTTTCAGAGCCTCGAGATTGGAGATAATTTGAAGGCTGATGAGCACTGGGATGCGGGGGAAGAGCGAGTCAAAGTAGTACTGGGGGGGGAGGGAGGGGAAGAAGAGGCAGGGCGGAACAGAACCATGGGAAAGGGGAAAGAGGAGGGGAAAAAATGAGGTGAAGGAGGTGGGGGGGGGGGGGGGGGGGGGGAGGGGCGGTAGGGGACCGGAAGGGCAAGGGAAGGACACAAAGCAACTTGCGTTATTTATGTTCAAGATAAAAAATGATTTGACGGCTTATGAGCACCGAAGTACGGGGAAAGAGAGTATAAGTAGCATTGGGAGGTAATGCAGGGGAAGAGGAGGCGGGGGGAACCGAGGGTGGGGGGCGGGAAAATTGGGGGTGGGAGAAGGGGAAATCCAGGCAAGGAACGGCTAATAAGCATTGGGATGCGGCGGAAGAGTGAGTTGGAGCAATACTGGGGGGGAAAGCAGGACCTGAGGGATAAGGGAGGGACTAGCCTCTGCAGCAAGCTCACCTGCCCCAGCAGCAGGTCGCGCACGTAATTCCCCATGGTGGTGTTCTTGCCATTAGTCCCCGGGGAGAATTCCTGATAGCCGCACATGGCACGATCAAACCGGGGAACAGGATGGTTTTGAGTCTAGGCACGGCAATGAGCAGCATGGAATGGCATGGGTTGGCAGGAGCACTGAATAGAATTTGAGTACGCCATGCGCACCCCATAAACGATGCACAAGCCTGCTTGGAGAACCACACAATGCTATCCATATCCTCTACATCAGTGCTCGCTCATGTGTTTCTGATTCCTCCACTCAGACATCTGTCAGTTAACGTTCTACCAAGCTCTCAAAACATGGGCTCTACAGAAAGGGCAGATTATCAAAGAGTGCCCGAGTTGCTACAATGGGTACAGAACGGTACGCAAGGAAAAGAAAGGGTACACAGGGGTAATAGGGATACGAAAGGGTAAACAGGGGTACACAAGGGCACACAAGGGTTCACGGGGTATTCAGGAGTCCACACCACTCACCTCTGAGTCCTTGATATACGGCTCGCACCAGCCCCACAGGGTCTTAGGCTCTGCCATATACCGGATATACAGAAAGCCGACCTGCGGTGCAGAGGGAACGAAAGGGGGAGTTGGAAGGCCAGCTTTTGAGTCGGCTTAAAAGCAGGCTCACACCAGCCCCACAGGGTCTTAGGCTCTGCCATATACCGGATATACAGAAACCCGACCTGCGGTGCAGAGGGCGCGAGGGGAGAGATGGAAGGCCAGGGGCAAAGCCGAGCGGGGCAAGGAGGGTGAAGCGAAAACAAGGCATGCGGGTAACCAGCAACGGCGATATAATGAGGACAGGGGATGTGGACAGAGAAGGGAGAGGGTTACATTGGGAGGTGCAAGAGGGGCAGAAAGAGAGAGAGCGCGAGAGCAGGGTGGGGGGTTGTGGGGGGGAGGGAAAGAGAGGGAGGGAGGGGTGGGAGGAGAGAATGAGGGAATTGAGCTGATGGAAAATTGGAGGGGAGGGATGGAGAAGAGAGGGGTGTCGAGGAAAGGGGAGATATGTCCCTCGAACACATGGTTGTGTGGAATCTCTATCTTTCGTTTCTTTCCGTCGCTTAGGGTTCTCTCTTCGGGCCAGCCTCTGCGTCACACACACACAGACACACACAAACACACACACACTCATACACAGGCACACACACGGAGCATGCACTCACACACTCGTGTGCGGACCAAGTGCTTGCTTGAGACGCAACGCTGGTAGCGCACGTGCAAGGTGGGGTTGGTTGGTTGGGTTGGTCTTTCCCAATACTTAGCGGTCAACCCAGCGGGACATTACCCCAGCACCAAGCCCATGAGCATCACCACTGCACCCTGGAATGGCATAGAATGACGTGGCATGGCATGGCATGGCATGGAATCGGTATCGCATGAAAGTTGGGCGAATCAGATCGCGAAAAAGGCCAAAACAGAAGAACGGAGGATGCACCGACGGAAGCGAGCAAGGCTTGACGGAGACTAACGGACAACCGAACCAGGCAGGCACAGCCAAGAGCTACAAGGCATTCGAAACGGTCAAATACACGTCCAGAAAATTCACCTTTGCTCTAATGGTTCCAAAGCGTTGCCAATTCAGGCATCCAACCCGCAGGTTTTCGACCAATGAGATAGTGAGCAGCCGAGTTCTCGGTTCGAAAATGAGACGAAATCCACCAGGAACCGGATCCATGGCTCTTACAAACACATCGTTTTCTTAAGCGCGACGCTTACATAGAACGAAAACATGGAAGCAAATACTAAGAGAACACATAACACGCTGTAAAAGGTACTGCACGGCCGGAACCGGGAGGAGGGGAAAACAGTAAAATAAAAAAAAAATCATACGGAAATACTTAAAGAGGAAGAAATAAAACGAAGTTCTTACCGCGCGAATGTACGGCGAGTCCGCGTGCGTGATGAGCCCTTGCACCTGCTTGACCGTGAGCTTCATGGTGAAGAACTTGTAGAGCAGGCAGAACGCCGTGGACGGCCCTCGACAGTTGCCCGTCATCCACGGCTCCACGTGCGACACCTGGTAGTAGATCTCGTCTATCACCTCGTGATACGTCTTTAGACGGAACAGACCGCGGAAATAATCCTGGAGGATGGAGGGTTGAGGGACACGTAAAAAAGGACAGGGAAGCCTTGAGTGAAAGTGAGCGATCGCGGTTTGTATGGATGTGATTTTGATGAGCGATGAAATATGATGGAATATGATGGTGGTAACACGGGGATGCGATGAAGCGGTGAATTCGCGGAAAAGGGTCAAAATCGGTAGAGTAGGTGTTGCCTGGCATACATTCGGGTTCCTCTCTTCCAACTCCGATTCCGACGCCACGAATTTCCTACTCAAGAGTAGTGATATGCGACGACGATAAGCGCGTAAATGTCGAGAAGAACAAGAACAGGGGAAATAGGTTAGGATGGCTTCACCAGGTGTCGCGAACAAGAGATGACAAACGTAAACACGAGATCTTTGAACGCCTCTCTTATGAGTTTTGTAAAAAAATACTAACAGCAAACATTCAGAAATCGGGATGTTAAATTACCTACCGAAGCAAGGATGTTCATCGACAGAACACGCTCCATGAGCGTGTCTATCGGCTTCCCGCATGTCTGCATCTCCATGGTGACTCCCCGACGAGTTGTAGAAGCTACGTCGGGTCAATGAATCCGGCGAAACAAGTCATAAATTGCTTGCAGTTGCGAAAGGTAATAGCCTGTGACGTTGAACGTAGCGAAGTCGCCTGAAGATGAACACTGGAAAGCTAGCAAAGCAGATCTGGAGCTATCTGACCCTAGAAGAACCTCCAAAGAGAACTCTTGAAGCCATTTCTTCAAAGGGGCAGAGACGAGTATTCTCGAGGGCAAACCCTAACAAGCCAAGAAAAATGTTTTCGTTTTCGGTGCAAATCGGTGAGTGTAAACCTTTTATCGGTTTTGTACGCTGCAGTAGCTTCCATTGCGATCACCTCTCGACGTCGCTGAGCTTGTTGCTGCACTGTTCAGAGCTGGAAGAGTCAATCAATCGCCCCACCCCACCCCACCCCACCCACCCAGTTCCCCCACCCACCTCTGCTCCAGAAGTTTGCGGTGTGGGCCACCTGAACGCGAAAATTCGCGAATGCGGACCTGTCATTTTGCCTAGCATTGCGACGTAACACAAAACCACGAACTCTCGTAACCCGTCGTAAGCTACAATTTGATCGTGCATGCACCGCGACCCCGCCGTTTACGTTCCGCGGCGATATCCCTGCAATCCAATCCCAATCCCCTGCCAAACCCCTTCTCCCGCTCTCCACCACCCACGCAGATTGTGCCGCGTGGCTCAGCCGTGAGAAACCAACCCACCGGACGCAGCAAGGCTCGAAGAGGTACTTAGAATTCAGGCCTCAGTGATTCAGTAATTGGTTCATCTCTCTCGTCGCCACAGTAATCCGCGCATTTTGCGCGAATCGCGCGCAATGCGTCTCGCGAGCATTCTCACCACCACGCGGCTGGTCGCTCATGGCGACCTCCAATTGCGATCCTCGCTCCGTCGCAGCTGTCGCTCCGCGACTGACGCTAGCGAAACAAGGCGAACGTTACGGCCAGGCTCATTTCCCCTCACAGCGTCAACTGGCATTCTGCGATCTGTTAGCTCTTTCCATGACCCGCCATCCCCGCTAATTCCGCGCACCATCTCCGTACGTGCCTCCGCAGGAGGCGGCGGCGGGAGCGACGGGGGCCGCAAAGGGAAGCGTCGGCAGGGGAAGAAGGGCAGGCAGCAGCAAGAACCGGGATCCACGGAAATTTTGTCCGTTATTGCCTCTGAATCCCCTACTGAACACGAAAGTAAGGGCGCTGATGACAGCGACATCAGAAGCGAAGACAGCAGCAGCGGCGGCAGTGGCAACGACGGCAGCGACAGCAGCGCAGCGAACGCTGCCAGGCGGCGGAAGCCCAAGGGCGCCCCGAAGGGGCCCCCTGCGCGCCGATGGTCGTTCGAGCAGCTGATGGCGGTGTGGGATACTCAGTTCCAGCGCGTGAGCACATGTGACGGCGGAGGGGGTGCGCCCACTGCGCTGGACATCGCGCGCGTGGCGGCCGCTGGACAGCAGAGGCTCGGCCGCGGCTGCGTGCTCGTGCAGGTTCACGTCCGAGCCAAGCTCCGAGGCTCGGCGGCGGGGTTCGGTGCTGGGCCTGGGGCAGCAGGCATGGGGAAGCGTGGCGCGGGGAAAGGGAAAGGGGGAGCGAAGGGGAAGGGGAATGGCGGAAGGAAGGGGGACGGGGAGTGGGAGGAGCCTACGACTGAAGTACTAGAGACATCTGTTGAGTATGTGCCACGTGGCATGCTCTTATTGGAGGATGATGATAGGTGGGGGATTATGGAGGAGTTGGAGGATACGGGAGATCTGGCAGGCGTTTTAAAAGCAACTGAAGCTCCAACAGTAGGGGATAGCACAGCAGCAGAAGCAGCTGGAACAACAGCAGGAGACTCAGGGACTGCAGGAGCGGCAGGAGAAGTGGGAGAGGTAGGGGTGGGGGTTCCTGTGGTGTCTCAAGGTGACCTGACAGGGTTGGTCCGGTGTGCAGGAGATTCCAGCCGACTGCTGCAACTCACTGCTCCAACCAACCGTGGCGCCAGCAGCAGCAGCAGCAGCAGCAGCGACGGTGTCGGCGGCACTAATGCAGGGTCACCACATGAAGAAGGTGTATTTGATGCAGAGCTGGTGGAGGGGGGAAGAAAGGCAGAAGAGAGCGGCGACGGAAACACAGCGGGATTTGCTATTCAAGGCGCTAATGCGATGTCAGAAGGGATGCCCGAGTGGGGTGGGGAGGCTCCTTATGATGAGCACCGGGGGGAGTTTGTCCTTGTGCTGTGGCTGCATATGGACGGGCAGGCTGTTGCTGGGGCTGACGTGGTCAGGGCTTGCGCTGTGGGCAATCCCGAGGGTCTGTGCTCGCTGGTGGAGTTTGCTGGTGTGGGATTGGGGAGAGATGAGGTGAAGTTGTTGGTGCGTGATATGGAGGATGTTGAGGAGGAGGAGGAGGAGGAGGCAGAGCTGGAGATAGTGTAGGTGCGGGATTGTGGAATATGGGCTTGTCAATGAGTGAGGTGTATTGTTTTTGTCTTCTGAAGTATTGCAGAGTTACAAATTCTGTTAATTGTGGGTCTCGAGAATATGTGCTCACCTTGCCCCCCAACAAATCAGCGCGAGCAGTGACTTCTAAGCGCGTTCTCGTTGGCAGGTTATGTTTTTGAAATTGAAATACATGTTAGCCTTTGCTTGCAGTAAAACAGGATTATATAATTTCTATGTACTTTAGCCAGCTATATACACGAGAATGCCGTGCCGTAATACACCACGCGTTACCCATTTGATCGTAACGTCACGCAGCTGGAGACCTTCTCCGATTATGCCGGCCAGTTTCTGATCTACCCGCACCTCGAGTGGAGTCGAGAGTCTAGCAAGATCATCGGAATCGCGTCGAATTCTTTTTGGCCGGCAGATTGTTGCTTTCACAAGATATTCACCTTCCGGAAGTCGTATTGTCGTGTAAAATAGAAGATTGCCGGCCTGTGCCGTTGCATCTGTTACCTTTTCCAGACTTTGCAGATTAGCTCGGGAAGGAGTTACGGTGAAATCCGCGACTCGACGATTATTACTATCCGGCACAGTCAATAAACTCAAACCGCGATACAAAGCGACTCGCCATTTCTGGGGTCCACCGTCGTCGTCTCTCGAATATCCGCGATATTAGATACACCTGGGTTCCGCTACAAGCAGGATTCTTATATAAGCTACCTGGCATAAACTGGCTTTTGACTGGTAGAACCTGCGTGCTTTGACCCGATGCGACGACGCGAAAGCAACGCAAGGGGTGGCGCCGTTGTTGAGGGGAGGTGGTAGGACCGACGGTGGCGTCGGAACGAAGAGGGTGAGGGAGTGAGGAGCGCGGAGGAAAGGAGTGAAGGAGTGACGGGGAGAAGGAGGGAAGGAGGAAAGGAGGAAAGGAGGGAAGGAGGGAAGGAGGGAAGGAGGGAAGGAGGGAAGGAGGGAAAGAGGGAAGGAGGGAAGGAGGGAAGCAAGGAGCAAAGGCTACGAAGTGTGGCGATTTCAGGATGGTGCGCGAGACGGAGTATTACGACCTGCTGGGGATCGCGCCCGGCGCAGACGCGTCGGTCATTCGGAAGGCCTATTTGTGAAGGTGCGGAAGGGGGAAGGGGGGGAGAGGTGGGGGGAAGGTACGAGGGGGAGGTGGGGGGAAGGTACGGGGGGGAGGTGGGGAGAAGGAAACTGGGGGAAAGGGGGAAGGGGGAGACAGGGGCGGTGTTGGGGATCGCTCCCGGCGCAGACGCGTCCGTCATACGAAAGGCCTACTTCGTGAAGGTGCGGCGATGGAGTGTGCGGGGGGTGTGTTGGGGGAGTGTGTTGGGGGGGTGTGTTGGGGGAGTGTGTTGGGGGGTTGGAGGGTAACACGGGGGGAGGGTGGGGGGAAGGAAACCGGGGGAAAGGGGGGGAGGTGGAGACAGGGGCGGTGCTGGGAATTGCGCCCGGAGCAGATTCTTCCGTCGTATGAAAGTCCTACTTCGTTAGGCTGCGGAAGGGGGAAGAAGAGGGGAAAGGGTGGGGGAATGGGGGAGGAGAGGGGGGAGGAGAGGGGGGAGGGAGGGGAAAGAGAGGGGAAGAGGGTAGAAAGAAGCCCCAGTGATTCTGTCTAAGCCCCCGGGCGAATATTTTCTTGAGGCACTTTAAAAAGTTAGCCCCCGTCCCCTTCCCCCCACCCTCCTTCTCCCCTCCCCCCTGCCAACAGGCGCGCCTGGTGCATCCTGACAAGAACCGGGACGACCCGAAAGCAGCGGCCAAGTTCCAGGCACTAGGGAAGGCGTACCAGGTGCGACTCCCCATCCCCTTCTCCTCCCCCCCTCCCCCCCCCCCTTTCCCCCATCCCTTTCCGCCCCCCCCATTCCCCCCACCTCGTCAGGCGCACCTGGTGCATCCTGACAAGAACCGCGATGATCCCAAGGCGGCGGCCAAGTTCCAGGCGCTGGGGGAGGCGTACCAGGTGCTCAGCGACCCCGTGCAGCGCGAACGGCTCTTACAAAGAACATACTCCCCCTCACCCTCTTCTTCCCTGTTCTTCCCCTCCCCCCCTTCCGCCACCCCCTTTCCCCACCCTCTCCCCCGCCAGGCGCGCCTGGTTCATCCCAACAAGAACCGCGATGATCCCAAGGCGGCGGCCAAGTTCCAGGCGCTGGGGGAGGCGTACCAGGTGCTCAGCGACCCCGTGCAGCGCGAACGGCTCTTACAAAGAACATACTCCCCCTCACCCTCTTCTTCCCTGTTCTTCCCCTCCCCCCCTTCCGCCACCCCCTTTCCCCACCCTCTCCCCCGCCAGGCGCGCCTGGTTCATCCCGACAAGAACCGCGATGATCCCAAGGCGGCGGCCAAGTTCCAGGCGCTGGGGGAGGCGTACCAGGTGCTCAGCGACCCCGTGCAGCGGTGTTCGGGATGCTGTTTGGCAGCGAGGCCTTTGAGGACTATGTCGGGCAGCTCGCCATGGCCACCTTTGCTTCCATCGCCTTCGACTCGGCTGCTGCTGCCGCTGCTGTTGGTGGTGGTGCTGCTGAGGGAGGGATTGCAGCAGGGCTGGTCCCCGGGGAGGTTCAGCAGAGGCTCAAGGTATGTGGAAAGTGGGAGGTGGGAGGTGGGAGGTGGGAGCTACGTGGGAGGTGGGATGTGAAGTTGCTGCTGCTGCTGCTGCTGCTGCTGCTGAAGAGGGGGTACAGCTGAGTTATTCCACCCTGTGATACTCACTCTCACTCTCACTCTCCCTCTCACTCTCCCTCTCACTCTCCCTCTCACTCTCCCTCTCACTCCTCCCCTCACTCCTCCTTTATTCCTTCCACGTGGCGGACCAGCGGGTGGGGGAGAATGCTAGGGAAGCTGCGTACAGCTGAGAGCTTCAAGTAGGTGACACTTTGATTGTCACTGCACTCTCACTCCTCCCCTCTCACCTCCATTCCTCCCGCTGCCGCCGCTGCTGTTGGTGGTGCTCCTGAAGGGGGGATTGCAGCAGGGCTGGTCCCTGGGGAGGTTCAGCAGAGGCTCAAGGTATGTGGGAGGTGGGAGGCGGGAGGTGGGAGGTGGGAGGTGGGAGGTGGGGCGTGAGACAGCACCTAGTACCCACGCAGGGCTGAGTGGAGCTGTGAAGTGAAGCTATAGGGGAAGGAAGCCCAGGCAACCCAGGTGCCACGGGTGGGGGAGCTGCTCGAGAAGGTGGTTACTGCTGAGTCGACTCAAAAGGTGACTTTTGGCTTTTGAGTCGACTCAAAAGGTGACTTTTGGCTTTTGAGTCGACTCAAAAGTCACCTCAGGTTCCACGGGTGGGGGAGCTGCTCGAGAAGGTGGTTACTGCTGAGAGCCTGCAAGTTATTCCACCCTGTGATACTCACTCTCACTCTCACTCTCACTCCTCCCCTCACTCCTCCTTTATTCCTTCCAGGTGGCGCAGGACCAGCGGGTGGGGGAGGTGCTGGGGAAGCTGGGTACAACTGAGTGTTGCTGGGGAAGCTGCGTGCGCGGCTTCTTTTCCCCAAGATTGCCTCGCACAACCGCGCCTCTCTCTCCTCTTGCCCTCCCTCCCTCCCTCCTTCTCACTTGCAGGTGGCCCAGGACCAGCGAGTGGGGGAGCTGCTGGGAAAGCTGCGCGCGCGGCTGCACCTGTGGGGGTTGGGCGGGAGGGGCAAGGAGGAGTTTGTGCGGTGGGGGCATGAAGAGGCGGACAAGCTTGCACATGCTGGTGGGTGGGTGGGTGGGAGAGAAGAGGAGGGTGGGGCCCGGGGGTAGACGCGTGTGTCACTTTTGAGAACTCCCACGAGCTTGTGCGGTGGGGGCATGAAGAGAGGCGGACAAGCTTGCACATGCTGGTGGGTGGGTGGGTGGGAGAGAAGAGGAGGGTGGGGCCCGGGGGTAGACGCGTGTGTCACTTTTGAGAACTCCCACGAGCTTGTGCGGTGGGCGCATGAAGAGAGGCGGACAAGCTTGCTCATGCTGGTGGGTGACAGGTTGGGGGCTGATGGTGGGGGGAAGAAGGGGGGGCTGATGGTGGGGGAAAGAAGGGGGGGCTACACCTGAAGGGGGTGGGCGGGAGGGGCAAGGAGGAGTTTGTGCGGTGGGCGAGGGGGAGGGGGAATAGAGAGGGGGGTGGGAAGTGGACAGGTGAGGGGAAGGACGTCTGAGTTGACTCAGTACTCGGAGAGCACATGCTGGCGAGCATAGGGTACGTGTATGAGCGCACAGCAGCCAAGGAGCAGGGCAAGGAAGCATTAGCACAGTAGTGTATGTCAGCCGCATCTGCCTTTCTCCCCTGCATCCCGCATCCCCCACAATCAGCCTTCGGACCGCACATGCTGGCGAGTATAGGCTACGTGTACGAGCGCACAGCAGCTGAGGAGCAGGGCGCGAGCGAGCACTAGCAGAAAGTGACACACGTGATATCTTTCCTTGCGATTGCCCCCATTCTTCCAGCCTTCGGAGAGCACATGTTGGCGAGCATAGGCTACTACGTGTACGAGCGCACAGCAGCCAAGGAGCAGGGCAACACTAGGCACTACATATGATGTGTCTACCCCCCCTCTCGCCTACCCCCCCTCTCGCCCTTCTTTCCGCCACCCCCCAACAGCCTTTGGAGAGCACATGTTGGCGAGCATAGGCTACGTGTACGAGCGCACAGCAGCCAAGGAGCAGGGCAAGAACCCGATGTACCTGGGAGTGCCGTTTGTGGGCGAGTGGCTGAGAGAGAGAGGCCGCCTGCTGCACACCCACGCCTCTGCTGTCGTTGGTGAGTGCGGTGCTGCTAGGGGGCGTGATGTGGTGACGCTGGGTGCAGTGCGGTGATACATGGTGGCATTGAAAGGTGGTTCAGTTCCGTTCCGTGTTGGAGCAGCAGCAGCAGCAGCAGCAGCAGCCAAGGAGCAGGGCAAGAACCCGATGTACCTGGGGGTGCCGTTTGTGGGCGAGTGGCTGAGGGAGAGAGGCCGCCTGCTGCACACCCACGCCTCTGCGGTGGTTGGTGAGTGGGGCGATGCTGCTGGGTGCAGTGCGGTGGCGCTGGGTGCCAGGTTGCATGATGCGGTGCCATTGGGTGGTGTGCGGTGATCCATGGTGGTGTTGAGATGTGGTTCAGTGTGGGACAGTGCAGCCAAGGAGCAGGGCAAGAACCCGATGTACCTGGGAGTGCCGTTTGTGGGCGAGTGGCTGAGAGATAGAGGCCGCCTGCTGCACACCCACGCCTCTGCGGTGGTTGGTGAGTGCGGTGATGCAGGGTGCAGTGCGGTGATGCAGGGTGCAGTGCGGTGATGCAGGGTGCCAGGTGGCGTGATGCGCTAGCGCAGGGAGCTGGGGGGCGATTCATGGTGTTGTTGGAAGGTGGTACAGTGTGGGGAGGGGAAGCAGCCAAGGAGCAGGGCAAGAATCCGATGTATCTGGGAGTGCCGTTTGTGGGCGAGTGGCTGAGAGAGAGAGGCCGCCTGCTGCACACCCACGCCTCTGCTGTCGTTGGTGAGTGGGGTGGTGCAGTGCGGTGACGCTGGGTGCTGTGCTGTGTGCTGGCACTGGGTGCGGTGTGCAGGCTGGGTGCAAGCAGTCTGTGTGATGCAGTGATGCCAGGCGTTAGGGGTGGGATGTGGTGACGCTGGGTGCCAGGGGCATGTGATGCGGTGGAGTTGTGTTCAAGCACAGCAGGGCATGTGCAAGGAGCTGGGTGTCGTAACATCTAGTTGCCCCAACCTCCCACACCCCCCCCCCCCCATTTCTCCTTCCCGCCAGGCGTGGTGGAGCTGTGTCAGGCGCAGCAGGACATGCGCAAGGCAGTGCAGGAGCAGGAGCTTGCTGCTGCTATCACATTAAGTCACCTTTCCTCTACTAAGCTCTCCACTCCCCCTCCCCCTTTCCGTGCACCACCCCGGGACCCCCCGCCCCCATCCCTCCCCCCGCCAGGCGTGGTGGAGCTGTGTCAGGCGCAGCAGGACATGCGCAAGGCGGTGCAGGAGCAGGAGCTAGGGGGGGCAGAGCTGGCAGGGTATCTGGAGAGCCGCCAGCAGTCGCTGCTGGGGTCGCTGTGGAAGCTCAACGTGGTGGACATAGAGGCCACCTTGGGAATGGTTTGCCACAAGGTGCGTGTGTGTGTGTGTGTGTTGTAGGCAACTGTTGATTGTGCGGTCCTTGCAGCCCCAGCAGCCCGACAGTCCGTAGGGTCGCTGTGGAAGCTCAACGTGGTGGACATAGAGGCCACCTTGGGAATGGTTTGCCACAAGGTGAGGGCGCGTGTGTGTTGTTAGCAGTAGTTAGTTCGGCATCCTAGGCCAGCAGCAGTCCCAGCAGTCAACGCGGTCCTCTCAGCACCGCCAGCAGTGCCAGCAGTGCCAGCAGTGCCAGCAGTTGCTGCTGGGGTCACTGTGGAAGCTCAGCGTGGAGATGGAATCGAAGGCTGTGAAAGCTGTGAAGCCTGTGAAAGCTGTGAAAGCTGTGAAGGCTGTGAAGGCTGTGAAACCACACATCCTCTTCCCTCCCCACTTTGCTCCAGGTTCTGACAGAGGAGTGTGAGTCGAAAACTGTGGAGTCTAGTTCTGGGGCGCCTCAAAACCACACATCCTCTTCCCTCCCCACTTTGCTCCAGGTTCTGACAGAGGAGTGTGAGTCGAAAACTGTGCTGGAAGGGCGTGCTCATGCTCTCAAGAAGCTAGGAGCGATTTTCCAGGTAGGGTCGCAGTTGTACGAGTATTGAGACGAGGTTTGAGTTGACTGAAAACTCATTCCAGGTGGGGTTGCTGTAGGACTCTTTAGACGTCTCAAAAGGTCGGATTGCTCTTTGCAGGTTGTTAATATGCAAGCTGCTGCTGCTTCTAACGTTCCTGACAGCAAATTTTAGAACCAGGGCTCTTTTCCAGGTGGGGGTGTGGGTGTGGGTTGCTGCGTTGGAGCTGCTTTTGCAACCAACCAGGTGGTTCGTTTAAATAACTGCAAAAGAAATTACAAGAAGCTAACAGTTGTATTGCGGGTGAAGGTCTGTGTAACTGATGGGAGGGAGGGATAATGATGGTTCAGGTGCAAGCCAGCGGGAGACATGGGCCTATTTTTGAGTCGACTCAAAAGTCACCTGATGGGAGGGAGGGATAATGATGGTTCTGGGGCAAACCAGCGGGAGACATGGTGGTGGCGGGCTGGTCTGGAATGGTGCGGGATTAGGAGTGTGTTGGTTTGGTGAGGGTGGGATATCAGACGTCTTGAACAAGCGTGTTATCACTTGAAACGTGCAGGAGGGAGTGAGAGCTGCTGGAATGGGAGTGAGATACAGGAGAGGCGTGATTGAGTGAGTGGCATGGCACGGGATCGTGAGTGCCTATCGTTGCTTGACTGGTCCTGTGTGAGGCTCTCACTCACTCTCCTCACGACTATTGATTGATTGCCCCGATGCTTTGCATGGGTGTGACATGGCATGGCATGGCGTGGCATGGCACGGGATCGTATGGCATGGCATGTCACGGCATGTCACGGCATGTAATGGCATGGCAATGGCATGGCATGTCACTGCATGGCACGCACATCAGGCCAAGGCGCGGCACTTGAATCAACTCAAGGCAGACGCAGAGTCAGCGTCAAGAGCAGCAGAAGCAGCAGCGGCAGCAGGGAGCCTCTCCCCTCACATGCGTCCCAAACCCTCCTATCACCGCCCCTTGGTACGTGCTATGCTGTGACAAGTGAGTCTGCTTTTGAGGCGACTCAAAAGCAGCAGCAGCAGCAGCAGGGAGCCTCTCCCCTCACATGCGTCCCAAACCCTCCTATCACCGCCCCTTGGTACGTGCTATGCTGTGACAAGTGAGTCTGCTTTTGAGGCGACTCAAAAGCAGCAGCAGCAGCAGGGAGCCTCTCCCCTCACATGCGTCCCAAACCCTCCTACCACCGCCCCTTGGTATGTGCCCATCCCGGTCCCTATCCCCATGCCCATCCCATCCCATGCCCATCCCATCCCATCCCATCCCATCCCATCCCATCCCATCCCATCCCATCCCCATTCCAATCCCCCTCCCTTCCCTATCCCCATCCCCATTCCCATTCCCATCCCCATCCCCATCCCCATGCCCATCCCCATGCCCATCCCCATCCCCATCCCCATCCCCATCCCCATCCCCATCCCCATCCCCATTCCCATCCCCACCCATCCCCATCCCCATCCCCATCCCCATCCCCATCCCCATCCCCATCCCTCTCCCAAATCTCTATCTCCCCCTGTCTCTCCAGGATTAGATCTACTCACCAGCCCCCCAGGCCAGAAGGCTGGGGCAAATCGCGGCCATCCACGGGATCCCGCATGTTGTTTCGTGTCTTGGGTCGACTCAAAACAACGACTCGCGGCCATCCACGGGATCCCGCCTGCTGTTTCTCACCCCTATCCATCCACCCCTCTCACCCCTGTCGCCCGCCCGGCACTGCAGATCTACCCAATACCAGCCCCATGGGCTAGAGGCTTTGCCTGCCGCCTCCCACCTTTTGAGCCGCCTCAAAAGCCCTCTCTCCCCCCTCTCCCCCCTCTCTCCCCCCTCTCTCCCCCCTCTCCCCCCTCTCTTCCCCCTCTCCCCCCCCTCTCCTCTCTCTCTCCCCCCTGTTTCCCCCGGCACTACAGATCTACCCAATACCAGCCCCATGGGCTAGAGGCTTTGCCTGCCGCCTCCCACCTTTTGAGGCGCCTCAAAAGCCCTCTCTCCCCCCTCTCCCCCCTCTCTCCCCCCTCTCTCCCCCCTCTCCCCCCTCTCTCCCCCCTCTCCCCCCCCTCTCCCCTCTCTCTCCCCCCTGTTTTCCCCGGCACTACAGATCTACCCAATACCAGCCCCATGGGCGAGAGGCTTTGCCGTTGCCTCCCACCTTTTGAGGCGCCTCAAAAGCCCTCTCTCCCCCCTCTCCCCCCTCTCTCCCCCCTCTCTCCCCCCTGTCCCTCCCGGCACTGCAGATCTACCCAATACCAGCCCCCTGGGCAAGAGGCTTTGCCGGCCGCCCCCCGCCTTCCCTGTTCAACCCTTATGCGCCCTGGCCGCCAGGAGGAGCCATGCAGGTGGGACCGTGAGAGAGAGAGAGAGCAGGGATGCAGGGTGAATGCTCGAGATTGAGTTGAGTGCAATACTGCAACTTGAGGCATGCAGGATTCAATTCAACCCCTATGCGCCCTGGCCGCCAGGAGGAGCCATGCAGGTGAGTGAGAGTGGGGGGGGGGGGGGTGTGAGAGCAGGGGAACCGTGCTGCATATTAGGGGCCGCCTGCAAGTTAGCGCTCCAACTCAACCCCTATGTGCCCTGGCCACCTGGGGGGCACAACTATGAGAGCAGGGGTGGGTGAGAGCAGGGGCGGGCGAGAGCAGGGGCGGGCGAGATCCTAGGTCGGACGTATTTATTTCATAACTTCCTTTTCCCCCCCTAATGCAGGGCTCACATAAGGCGTTTTATTCTGAGGAGACGGCTCAGGAGCAGGAGTACCAGTACCAGCAGCACAGGGAGAAGCAGAGAGCAGCGTATTCATGATTGCATGTTATGTCTTAATAAAAACCCTCTTCCCCCTATTGCAGGGATCTCACAAGGCGTTTTATTCTGAGGAGACGGCTCAGGAGCAGGAGTGCCAGTACCAGCAGCACAGGGAGAAGCAGAGAGCAGCGGAGGAGCAATGGCGGAGGGAGCAGGACGAGCTAGCACAGCGACAGCAGCAGGAGAGACAAGAGCGGAAAGAGCGGGAAGAGCAAAGAGAGCAACAAGCGCAGGAGGAGAAGCAGCGACAGCGGGAGCAGGAGCAGAAGAGGAGGCAGAAGCAGGAGCAGCAGCAGTGGGGAGAGCAGCAGGCACGGGCCAGTGCCTCACCAGCAGAGAGTGCAGCTGGATATTCATCCGCAGCAGCTGGAGCAGCAGGAGGAGCAGGAGGAGCAGGAGGAGCAGGAGGAGCAGGAAGAGCAGGAGGAGCAGGAAGAGCAGCCTCAGAAGAAGCAGCAGCAGCAGCAGCAGCAGCAGCAGCAGGAGCAGCGGCAGCAGCAGCAGCAGCAGCAGCCATGGATCCCCTATCTGCGTCCGTCAACCCTCAGGCAGCCCATTCAGAATCAGAGCCTTCGCCACTACTCACTCCCCCACCTCCTCCTCTTAACACTACTTCTACTCCTTCTGCTGCTTCCGCCTCTGGTGCTTCAGCTGTTACTACCTCTCTCCCTGACCGTCCTCCGCTCCTTTCCCCATCTGCGTCACCATCCCCAACAACTCCTTCTCGTGCTGCTCGCACACGCGCTCCTCCTCCTCCTCATCCTCGTCCTTCCAACGCATCTCACCCCAACTTCATGGCCATGTCTGTTGCCGAGATCAAACGGTACATTCGCAGTCATAACGGCGACACGACAGGACTCGTGGCGCGATCGGACCTAATAGCGTATGCCAAGACCCTCTCAGAACCCGCAACCGCTGGTTGACTCAACTGTGACGCCCATTCGAGCACCTGTGAAGCTCGTGGCGCGCGATCGGACCATATAGCGTACAGAAAGACCCTCTCAGAACCGAGGTGACTGTTTAAAGTCGACTCAAAAGGACCTTATAGCACATGTCAAGACCCTGTCCGAACACGCAACTGCAGATTGATGGACCCATCCGTGGCTGTCAGTTTAACAGTTGCAAAGCTCTGCAGCAGTTTCGCACAGTTACACCATAGTAGGTGGTGGTTCGGTCGGTGGTAAGGTGGTAAGTCACCACTACCAGTATTGGACTGAAGTTGCACCACAGCCGCCACCACCACCGCCACCACGAGTTTAGTTTAGTGGACGGTAGTAGTCACCTATTTTGTTGTTGTGCGCCTTCTTTTGAGGCGCCTCAGTACTCATCGGTTCTTCTAGCATCCATGCAGATCTATGCCTGTAGAGTGGAGTGGACCAAGGTGCCACCACAACACAAGTTACACCTGGTGTAGTGTAGTGCAGTGTAGTGTATTGTGTTAGAATCTAGAGACAGGAATGAATGAACTATGAAAGAGTTGGGTACAAGTATGAAACCCTAAACGGGGCTGTACCCCATATTGGCTACCCCACTACAGCCTACACATATATAACATGCATATACTTTGACACACCCCCATAGGCAAAGTGGGGGAGAGCAAGGGGTCACAAGACCAGTCAAGAGAAGCAAATCAAGCTCAGGGTGGATCACAACGTCACCACACACACTGAGCACAAGCAAAGGGCCACAAGGCCAGTTCACATGCAGAGGTATATATGCAACAACAACAGCACAGTGATCTCTACCTAGCAAAGCAAGCATGCAGGTATATATATAGATCACAGTACAAGCAAAGTCTACAGCAAGTGAGGAAACGTGGGCACAAGGCCTAACAGAGTGCAGAAACGCTGATGATCACCAGACGGAAGCGCCTTGGTGAATATATCAGCAGTGTTGGCCCGAGTGGCCACGTGAGCAAGACGAAGCTGACCACGGTGCTGCAACTCTCGAGCCAGGAAGTAACGCAGAGCGATGTGCTTCGTTCTGTGCTCCAGTCTGTGCTCCTGACACAAGGCAATGGCGGCCTTGTTGTCGACGTACAGCACTGGAGGAGAACGAGGCCGCTCTCCCAAGTCGGTCAGCAGGTAGGTGAGCCAGCGTAACTCCTGTGCAGCCATGGCTGTGGCGTAGATCTCAGCCTCACAACTGGAGCCGAGAACAGAGGACGAGCGTGTAGACCGCCAAGAAACAGAGCCAGAGCCAAGGCTGAAGGTGTAACCCTGTGACGACCGCTGCGTAGCCTGGTCGTCAACCCAAGAAGCGTCCGAGTGCCCAGTGAGGACAACGTCGCCCCGTCCTCCAAGCACGAGCCCCATGCCCGATGTACTGCACAAGTAGCGCAGTACCCTCTTAGCAGCATCCATGTGCATCTTTCGGTGCCGACCAGGAGCCACGTAGCGAGCCAGAAGGCCAAGAGGGTACGCGAGGTCAGGACGAGTGCAGGTCATCAGGTACATGAGGCAGCCAACTAGCTCTGGGTAAGGACCACTCGGCTCTACGGACTCGTCCGAAGGTGGAGCTGAGAGCGAGTGACCTGTAGCCAGAGGAGTGGCCTGTGCCGAGGACCAGGTGAAGCCGAAGCGCTGAAGGACCTGTTGCACCATGTGTGACTGAGTCAGTGTGATGGTGCGGCGTGCTCTGTCCCGGGTGATCTGCAAGCCAAGGTAGCTGCGCAGCTCACCCAGGTCTGTGCACGTGTGTCTCTTCTGCAGCTCCGACTTCATCAGGGCGAGAGCCTCAGTGTCAGCAGTGGCAAAGACCAAGTCGTCGACGTACATGAGGATGCAGAACGGCGGCAGCGAAGTGTCGGTGCGCAGAAACAGCGACGGGTCAGCAGTCGACGGAGCAAACCCAAGAGCCGCAAGTGTCGTCCTCAGTGTGTCGTGCCACTCATGGGCGCCTGGCGGAGACCGTAGACCGGCCGCCGGAGGCTCCACTGGGTACCAGGAGGGAACGACCCAGTGAAGCCAGGTGGGCGGCGCAGCCAGATCTCCTCGTGCAGGCTGCCCTGTAAGAAGGCTGTGCTGAAGTCAAGAGAGTGAAGCTCGTAGTCACGCTGAGCGGCAACGTGCAGCAGCACCCGAAGAGTGGTCATCTTCGGGGTGGGGGAGAAGGTCTGGAAGAAGTCTACTCCCTCTCGCTGACTGAAACCTCGTGCAACGTAACGCGCCTTGAAGACAGGCGGAGAACCCGGCGGCCGCTTCACCCTGAAAATCCACATGCCACTGACGATGTTCGCCCCAGGTGGGGGAACCTCGTCGACGTAAGTGCATGTGGACTTCCAGGATGCCATCTCTGCGTCCATGGCTGTCTGCCACTGAGAGCAGTACTCACCCGCGATCGCCTCAGCGTAAGAGCGCGGGGTCGGGATGTCTGGAGCATCCGGGTCTCCCTCAGGGGCAAGCAGCATGGACACGAGATGAGGCGCAGCGGCTGCAAGACACTCAAGGTCCTCCTGCCTGTCCTCAAGGACGTCCGTGCCAAGAGCACACTCACCCCCGACGGACGGAGGACAGACAGACTCAGACTCAGCAACAAGACTAGCGGCGTAGTCTAGACGACAGGCAGCAGCAAAGTCAGCAAGCTCAGCGACTAAGGCAGACGCAGCAGCAGACTCAAACGACGGGTCAGTGACAACAGTGGCTAGCAGACGCGTGACAGTAGGGTGAGTAGCACGAGCGCGGTCAGACTCAGGCTCTGGAACGTCAGGCAGAGAAGACGCAGGAGGGGACGGCAGGGGAACACGCTGCGGAGCAGAGGAAGGACGCAGGGCTATGAGGTGTGTGCCGGGGACAGCCGGCGGACGCTCACGAGGAACACGACGACCAGTACGACCAGTGCGGACAGTGTGAACAGGCGAGACAGGACGAGACGCAGGCTCACAACGCTCAGCAAGACTGCCTGTCAGCTCAGTGTAAGGAGCAGGAGCAGGCAGCGGTGAGCCAGGCTGTAGCGGAAGACCAGTAGAAGACGGGAGGCTAAGAACCTGGCGAAGCACGGAGCCAGGCGGTGGCAGAGACGAAGGTGACGGCGGAGCGAAGAACAGTCGCAGCGGTGCAGTGACACCAGCACCAGTAGCTCCAGCACCTCCTGCAGCTCTAGAACCTCTAGCGCCAGCACCACCAGCGCCAGCACCTCCAACAGCTCCAGAACCTCCAGCGCCAGCACCCGCAGCAGCTCCAGAACCTCCTGCTCCAGCGCCACCAGCGCCAGCACCTCCAACAGCTCCAGAACCTCCAGCGCCAGCACCTGCAGCAGCTCCAGAACCTCCAGCGCCAGCACCCGCAGCAGCTCCAGAACCTCCAGCTCCAGCGCCACCAGCAGTAGCACCCCCACAGCCGGCACCTCCAGCTCCAGGGCCCCCAACCTCAGAGTCGACAGCAGCACCTCCAGGTCCAGCAGGACCTCCAGTCCCAGCAGCTCCAGTACCTCCAGTACGAGCACCTCCGGGACCAGCTGCTCCAGGAACTCCAGTAGAAACAACACCAGTAGCAGAGTCACCAGCTCCAGCGCCTACAGCAGCAGGGCCCCTAGCTCCAGCAGCGCGACCCTGATGACTAACGTACCACTCACGCAGCTGCTGTGGGGAGAGAGGGACAGCGCTGGCTCTAGTGCCTCTAACACCAGCACCTCCCGCAGCAGGGCCCCCAGCTCCAGCAGCTCGACCCTGATGGCTAACGTACCACTCACGCAACTGCTGTGGGGAGAGAGGGAGACGACGACGAGAGTGCAGCGGCGAGGCACCAGCGGAGCGATTACGGAGACGGCCGCTCCAGGGAGACTGCTCACCAGACGCCTCAGCGCCCCCAGGTGCAGCACCCCCAGACTCAGTACCCCCAGGCTCAGCACCCCCAGACTCCTCACGCCCAGGCTCAGCACCTCCAGGCTCCGCACCCCCAGGCTCAGCACCCCCAGGCTCCGCACCCCCAGGCTCAGCACCCCCAGGCTCCGCACCCCCAGGCTCAGCACCCCCAGAAGCAGCACCCCGAGCAGGACCACCCCCAGCAGGACCTGAGTCACCAGTGACCTCAACCGGCGCAGACAAGGGAGGAGGGTCTACCTGAGACACACCTGAAGGAGCAGGACCGAGAGCGAGGAGGGGGTCTACCTGGGGAGCACATGGAGCGAGGAAGAGCAGCAAGGGGGGGAGAGGGGCAGTGCGGTAGGGGAAGAGACGGTAAAAGGGAACCGACTCGTCGAACGTGACGTCCTGAGAGGGGAAGACACGGCGCGAGGTGGGGTGGTAAAACTGCCAACCAGGCGCGTCAGGGACAAAGCCAAGGAAGACACAGGGAACAGCGCGGGCGGAGAGCTTGTCCGCGGTGGTATCGCGGACAAAGGCACGAGAACCCCAGACCCAGAACACCGACGCATCGCCAACCTCCCCCGTCCACCGCAGTGTGGGCGAGGTCTCCGGCAAGGAGACACGGGGCCAGAGGTTGAGCTGATGCGCGGCGTAGCGGACCGCAAAAGGCCACAGAAAATGGGGGGCAGCCGCATGGACCATGGAGGTACGACCGACCTCCATGACCAAGCCAATGCGGCGCTCAGCTGCGGAGAGGCCGGAAGCGTGAAAGTCTGGCGAATGCCCTCCCCACGACAAAAGCTCTGCAGAAAGTCGGAGGAAAACTCCCCACCTCTGTCAGAGTGCAGACGCAGGACGGGAAACTCCGTCCCGAACCGCTCACGGAGCTGGAGACGGGCAGCGCGGATCCAAGGGATCAAAACATCAGGGACCTCACCCTTGGTGCGCAAGGGGAAGACCGTGGTGTAACGCGAGTAGTCGTCAACAACCAGCAGGAAGTACCGCTCGCGGTCCTGCCCACGGACGCGGGCTGAGCCCCACACGTCCATGTGCAGGGTCTGCAGGGGAGCAGTCGTCGGGGGAAACGAGGAGGAGTGAGGAGCGGCGCGCTGCCGCCCCTCGACACAGGGAAGACAGGGAGGAGCACGCGAGGGTGGGAGGGGAGGGAGAACCCTGGGAAGACCAGAGACAAGAACACGGCGGTGCATGCTACGAAGGCGCTGCACCGAGGGGTGACCAAGGCGGTGGTGCCAAAGGAGGGTCTGGTGTGACAAAGCGTGACACGAGCAGGGGGCCGCTAGCTGACCTGACGCAGACGCAGACGCAGCGACCTGAGGGGACACAGTAGTCAGTGTGTACAGACTCGAGCCAGGCGCACGGGTAAACGTGGCCAGGTGCCGGCCCGTCCGGGAGCACGTACAGTGGGTCACGCGCTGACCTCCAGGGGTGAACTGGTCGACCCACTGGTCCTGGAGGTCAGCACCCCTCACCAAGTTCGTAGAGAACGAGGGGAGGTGAAGACCTAATAGGGAGCCAGACGGGACCGCCGGACACGACAGGACCGTGGAGGAGTGCGCAAGGACTGGACCTTCAGAGGGGTCTGCCAGGGAGACTGCAACCAGCCGACGGAGCGGCGTGAGGGTGGTGCTGTCACGAAAGAAGGAGCGAGAAGCACCTGAGTCAAGTGTGAAGGTGTACAAGGCCTCAGCAGTCGCAGTACCAGAGAGAGCAGACTCACCAGCACCTGGAGCAGAAGCCTCACCAGCACCTAGAGCAGGAGACGCACTAGCACCTAGAGCAGCAGCCTCACCAGCACCTAGAGCAGCAGGCTCTATACCTGGGTTAGGCGGTACGCACAGGTAACAGGCACAGTCAGCACTAGTAGGCAATGCATACATGGCAGTGAGAATAGCATCATAGTCAAGAGCAAAGATATCTACCCTCTGCCCAAGCAGCTCCAGCCAGGTGGGGAGCTCAGCCTCGTCGCCAAACTCGGTACGCCAGGCGTCGCTCAGACGGGCGAAGCAGCGGGACTGTGTGTGACCAAGCGTCCCGCAAGCCTAACCAGCCCGATCACCTGTGCGAATGACGTACGGGCAGCGAACGGTACTCCGAGACCCTCTACTCTGAGCGTACCACTCGTGAAGCTGCTGGGACGTAAGTGTCTTGCGTGGACGCCGCTGCAGCTGCAGCTGGCCACTGCCAGACGCTCCCAATTGACCAGCTCCAGGGCGACAGCTACGACGGCTACCGCCACAACCCCAACTAGCGTACCACTCACGAAGCTGCTGGGGCGGGAGAGACTCGCGTGGACGTCGCTGGAGCTGCATCTGGCCACCGCCAGTAGCAGCAGTAGCAGAAGTAGCAGCAGCAGCAGCAGCAGCAGCCTAACAGCAGTAACAGTGCGGGCAGGGCAGGTGCGACAGGCAGGCAGGCAGGCAGGCAGGCAGGCAGGCAGGCAGACAGGCAGGCAGATGACGCGGCAGCGCGCGAACAAGGTAGGTGCTCACCAGTGGTGGGAAGGGCAGGCGCTCGCCGGGCAAGCAGGGCCGGCGCTCGGCGGGCGGCGGCCGGGTAGGCGCACGACGGCGGCGACGGTGGGGCCGCGACAGCTGCGGCAGAGCAGGGCCGCGTCGGCGGTAGAGCAGGTCCGCGACAGCTGCTGCAGGGCGGGGCCGTGACCGCTGCAGAGCGGGGCCGCGAGGACTGCTGCAGGGCGGGGCCGCGAGGATTGCTGCAGGGTGGGGCCGCGACAGCAGCAGGAGCTTCCGCGGCAGCTTCTGCAGGGCGGGGCCGCGACCGTGGTAGGGCGCTCCGTGGCAGCTGCTGCAGAAGCGACGGCGGCAGTCAGGCAGGGGCGGCGTCCAAGGGGGGGGCGGGCGTCGCGTCGAACAGGGGCAGCCGCGGCGCGCGGGGCTGCAGCGGGCTACGCGAGCTGCGGGCGCGGCGCGCGAAGCCGCAGCGGGCTGCGCGAGGACGGCAGCCGCGGCGCGCGGGGCTGCAGCGCGACGCGCGGGCAGCGGACGCGACGCGCGGGGCTGCAGCGCGACGCGCGGGCAGCGGACGCGACGCGCGGGGCTGCAGCGCGACGCGCGGGCAGCGGACGCGACGCGCGGGGCTGCAGCAAGCAGCGCGGGCTGCGGACGCGGCGCGCGGAGCAGCAGCGAGCCGCGCGCGGGCTGCCGAGGCGCGACTCGGGCAGCTTGGGCGACGCGCGGGGCAAAAAACCGGGCCGCGCGCAGGAATCAGGTCTGCGCGCTCTAAGCAGCAGCAGACCGCGCAGTCAGCAGACAGCAGGCAGCAGGCAGACGGCGCGCGCAGCGCAGCACATTACAGGCACAGTCACAGTCACAGTCGTGGGGTAGCGGTAGGTGGGCCCGAAAAAAAAACGGTCCTACGGACCTACTGCTCTGAAACCATGTTAGAATCTAGAGACAGGAATGAATGAACTATGAAAGAGTTGGGTACAAGTATGAAACCCTAAAAGGGGCTGTACCCCATATTGGGTACCCCACTACAGCCTACACATATATAACATGCATATACTTTGACATATTGTGGTGTAGTTAGGTGGATTGCGGTGCAGTGTAGTGAGATGTACAGTGCATGAGACCTGAAGGTTCTTCAGATTTTTGTTGGGCATGCAATTACGGTACCATGAACCTATGCTGCTGTTTTAGGTTCTGGTGGTGTGGCTACTACGATGTGTAATTTGGTGGCACGAAATCCAAGCCAAGCTGCCAAGTTGCCAGCCAGCCAAGCTGTATGCAAGTGGTATGGTATGCCAGACCAAGACGCGAAATTGTCACGCGTGGTAAAAAGACATCTCTTGGATATAACGTACAACACAGTTACACGAGTAGTGCATGGGCTGTTTGCTGCTTTACTTTACAGCCTTCCAGGCCAGGAGAGGACAACCAGGCAGCCTGGGGAGTTTTTTTGCAACTCCTCAAACCCGTTCTGAGCTACAAACTGTGGCTGCAGTTCTTGTCTAAGGCCAGGCGAGACGGTGGAGCACGGGAGCTTGGAGAACAATGTAGGATAGGACAGGTGCAACATGCAGGGAGCACGCAACAGTCCCCGGTCAGGTTGAACTCGCAGGTCAGTGCATGGGCAGCTCTCTTCGAAGGCCAGACGAGGCGGTGGAGCGAGGGAGCTTGGAGAGGCGGGCTGCTGAGAGCACAGCGGCAGACACGGCAAAGAGCGCCCCCAGCACGAATGCGGGCACGTTGCCGCCTCCGAAAAGAGCATCCCAGGGGCCCGCTCCCAGGGAGACTAGGATCTGGAACGAGGAGAGAGAGAGAGAGAGAGGGCGGGAGGGGTGGGGGTGAAGGGGTTGGGTGGGAGTTTAAGCACCACACACAACACAGGGACGTTGCCGCCTCCCAAGAGAGAATTCCAGAGGCCCGCTCCGAGGGACTAGGATCTGGTGGGGAGAGGGAGGAAGGGGTGGGGGTGCAAGGTCGCGGGGAGAAGGGGGTGAGAAGTTTTTTTGGCGTCTTGTAATCCGACTCGCCTTGTGAGTGAGACGGCGGGCGGGCGAGTGGGCAGGGAGAGAGAGGGGCAGGAATATAGGCTGGAGATGCAGACTATTAAACGGTGGTGTTCAGAAAGGGGCCAAGGATGAACGGGAAGAGGAGCAAAGGAACGCACAAAAAGGCGATGGTATCCAAAAAGGTAAAGGAGGGATGGCAAGAGCAAGAGGAAAGGAGGGGAATACCTGAGGGCACACAATGGCAAGATTGAGGATACCCATTGAGAGACCTGCATGGCATGCGTGGAAGACAGAAAATGCGGGGAGAAGGAGCAGGAGGGAGGAGAGGAAAGGGGGAGAGGGGGTGAGTCTAGAGTTGCTGTTTGTGGGAGTGCATATTGAACATGAGATGTTAATCAGGTATGAAGCACAGCTGCGGGTGCATAAAGCGGTACAAAAAAAGAAGGGAGGGAAGACGGATGGATGGATGGATGGATGGATGGATGGATGGATGGATGGATGGATGGATGGATGGATGGATGGATGGATGGATGGATGGATGGATGGATGGATGGATGGATGGATGGATGGATGGATGGATGGGTGGGTGGGTGGGTGGGTGGGTGGGTGGGTGGGTGGGTGGGTGGGTGGGTGGGTGGGTGGGTGGGTGGGTGGGTGGGTGGGTGGGTGGGTGGGTGGGTGGGTGGGTGGGTGGGTGGGTGGGTGGGTGGGTGGGTGGGTGGGTGGGTGGGTGGGTGGGTGGGTGGGTGGGTGGGTTTGAAACATGCACATATCTTGTTGTGCTCACCTTGCCCTGCCCCGCTGCCTGCGGTCTGGTCTGCTGTGATCGAATATGGCACCACTCCTGTAATCTGCAATCAGAGGAAGAACAGAAAGCATTGAAGAGAGATGGAGTTGAGTTGTGAGGCGCCTCATAACTTGCCTACACACAGAGAGGAGTGGAAACAGATGCAACTACGTTTGATTGAGAGGTGACGGAGAAGCAAGGGAAACGTGTGGGAGAGGGGAGAGAGGGGTGTGGTATAGGCACGGGAGGGGCGCGGGAGAGGCGAGAGAGGGACGCAAAGCAAAGGAGACTCCAGCGAGAGAAAAGACAGAGAGAGCAGCCGCACAGGCAGACAGAGGAATTCTTGGGAGAGGTGATGAAGAGGGAAGGGAGAGGGGAGCGAGAGGCAAGGACGGGACGCACAGCAAAGGAGGCTCCAGCAAGAGCAAAGACAGAGAGAGCAGCCGCACAGGCAGACAGAGGAATTCTTGGGAGAGGTGATGAAGAGGGGAGGGAGAGGCGAGCGAGAGGCAAAAATGGGACGCACAGCAAAGGAGGCTCCAGCAAGAGCAAAGACAGAGAGAGCAGCCGCACGAAGAGTAGCGGACGGCTCTTGCCACCCCACACCATCTCCCACTAGCATACCCCCTCCTGCTCCTCCTACTCCCGGCGCAGGTGCAGGTGCTCCTGTCATATTCGCTCCTGCTGCCGCCGCTGCTGCCGCCGCTGCCGCTGCTGCTGCTTCGGCAACGCTAGCAGCAGCGGCAGCAGCTGCAGCGGCGGCAGCGGCGGCGTTGTCTGCTGCGGCTGTGACGAGCCAGGTGGAGAGGAGGGAGGTGGCGAGAAGTAGGTTGCCTGCTGCCCACACCAGGGCTGGACCAAAGCGGATGCAGATGGGGTCGAGAGAGAAGGCCGTGAGTGCTTGCACCACCTGGGAGGGAGGGAAAATGGGATGGAGGAAGGAAGGGTACTTTGAGTCGACTCTGAATACATGTGAATAGAGGTGGGGAGGCGGCAAGGAGAAGGTTGCCTGCTGCCCACACCAGGGCTGGACCAAAGCGGATGCAGATGGGGTCGAGAGAGAAGGCCGTGAGTGCTTGCACCACCTGGGAGGGAGGGAAAATGGGATGGAGGAAGGAAGGGTACTTTGAGTCGACTCTGAATACATGTGAATAGAGGTGGGGAGGTGGGAGGAGGAGGTTGCCTGTTGCCCACACCAGGGCTGGACCAAAGCGGATGCAGATTGGATCGAGAGAGAAGGCCGTGAGTGCTTGCACCACCTGGGAGGGAGGGAAAATGGGATGGAGGAAGGAAGGGTACTTTGAGTCGACTCTGAATACATGTGAATAGAGGTGGGGAGGCGGCAAGGAGAAGGTTGCCTGCTGCCCACACCAGGGCTGGACCAAAGCGGATGCAGATGGGGTCGAGAGAGAAGGCCGTGAGTGCTTGCACCACCTGGGGGTAGAGGAAGGAGGGACGGGGAGGGAGGGAGAGAGTGGCAGGGGGAGGGAGGGGGAGCGGGATGGAAAGTCAGACGTGGAAGATGGAGAGGGGATGGCACGAGGAAAAGAGACCGAGGAGAGCGATGAGATGAATGAGTGCAAGAAGCGAGAGGAGAGCGAGGAGCGGCAAGGAGAGTGAAGAGGGTGAGGAGAGTGAGGAGAGTGAGGAAAGAAAAGAGGGTGTGAAGAGTGAGGAAAGGGCAGCAAGCTAGCAAGGGACCCACAGCAAAGGGGAGGAGGCCGAGGGCACCATCCCGCCGTCCCTGACATCAGCTTGGTTTTGGGTCAACTCAAAAAGAGGGTGTGAAGAGCAAGGAAAGGGCAGCAAGCGAGCAAGGGACTGACAGCAAAGAGGAGGAGGCCGAGGGCGCCGTCCCTGACGCCGGCTTGGTACCGAACCACCGCTGCAGGATCGGCACTGCTGGGCTCGCCTCGGTAAACCTCCCTGCCCATCCAGTCCGTGTCGAATAGGAAGAACGGGAACCATGCCATCTGATGGGAAGGAGGAATGGGAGAAAAGGGGAGGACTTTTGAGTCGAATTAACAGTGATCTTGCTGAGCTCGCCTCGGTAAACCTCCCTGCCCATCCAGTCTGTGGCAAATAAGAAGAACGGGAACCAAGCCATCTATTGAAAGGATGGGGAGGGGAGGGGAGGAAAAGGGGATAAGTGGGGTGGGCGGGAGTAGGAGGGGAGTGCAGGGGTGCTGAGTTGCGTGCCATCTTAATTCCTCCTCCCATCCCAACCAGTCCATTTCAGAAGAACAGGAACCATGGCATCTGATGGAAGGGGGTTGAGGTGGGATGAGGAGGGGAGCGGAGCGGAGAAAGGGTGGTGGAGGGGGGGGAGAGGGGGGGTTTACAGGTTTACAGGTTTACATGCAAAGATGAGGAACGAGAAAGGAGACGTCAGGGGGAACATGAGGATATGAGCAGAAAAGCAGTGAACGAGAGAGAGATACATGACGTGCGATGGACATGGCATGCATAATGGCATGCATGCATGCATGATGACACACACTTGATGAGACACATAAGATGGCACACACATGATGGTGTGAGAACTGGAGCTTGGAATGATTCATTAGTCATGAGCTTGAAGCTCCTTAAGTACATCCGAAGTGGGCAAGGTATTGATGGGGAGGGAATCGGGGGCAATCCCTAGGGATTGGGGGTAATCCCAAGGCAATCACAAACTGGTGGGTTGGAGATTTTTTGGAGATCACATTTGGGTTTGGTTGGGATGTGGGTGTACACCCAACCAAACACAAAGTGCAAACTACACTAAGCTAGGATACAAAAGGTACAAGTACAAAAGGTGAGATTGAGGGCTAACACTAACAGATGGCACATATTACGATATGCATGTTTGACGGGCACAATGACATGGCATGTAGGCGGGCAGGTGAGAGTCGTCACTCACCCATGTGAGGGCCATGACAGATAGCACCAGGCGCATGGACTTGGGCATGAGGCGAATGCCAACCAGCAGATCCACTACCACTGAGGCCACACCACCACCACCACCGCTGCTACCACCACTGCCACTGCCACCATCAACAGCAGGAGCAGCAGCAGCAGCAGCACTGCCACCATCACCGTTCCTCATGCTTGAACCTCCCCCACCACCCACACCATCGCCAATCCCACCATTCCCCTCCCTGCCTCTCCTCTTCTCACCCCCACCAACACCCCCCCACCGCCCATCCCTCCCCCCGTTCCGCCCACTCCTCTCCCTACCCATCCCACCCTCCCCGCCCTCACCACACACCCCTTCTCCCGCCTCCCTCTGCCCCTCCACATCCTTCAATAAAGCATCTTGGTCCTCTACCTTCATGTACCCATCCATCCGCACAGAGGATAGAGCAGCTAAGGAGCTCAGAACCCCTCCCGATGCGGCATCTCGTTTTGAGTCGAGAGTGGGAGCGAGAGTAGTAGTGGAAGGATGAGGGCTGGTGGCAGGAGCAGTGGTGGTGGTGGTGGTGGGGAGGGCGGTTGTGCTGTTGCTGCTGCTGCTGCTGCTGCTGGTGCTGGCAGTGGTGTTACCGCCCCTGCTGCCGCCACCACCACCGCCACCACCACTGCTGCTGTTGCCAGTCATGCTACTGTCACTCCCGTAACCCTCGCTGCTCCCACTGTGATTCCTCTGCCTCACACCCTGCCATGCCATACCCCTGCCCCCACTCCCCCCCTCGCTTATCACCCCCTCATCCCCATCCCTCCCCTCCCCACCACCACCACCACCACCACCTCTGTTCCAACTCAAGCTCCTGTTACCACTCCTGTTCAAACCCCTGTTAGTGCTCCGGTTCAAAGAAACACTCCCAATGTATTCTTCTATTACAGGCTCTTCGGCAGTGGCCGTGGTGGCGCCGGTGGTTCGACCAGAGGCTGAATCAGCATCGTAATCAGCAGCAACAGCAGCAACAGCAGCCACAGAAGCAGCAGTGGCAGTGGCAGAAGCAGAGACGGGTGCAAGATCAGCAGGGTCAAGGGATCCCGGAGAGTTAGGATACGAGTTTAGATCAACGGTGGTGAAGTGATCTGCTTCAGTCCCTCTCACAATAGCTGCCTCTCCAGTCTCAACTGCTACTGCCTGGGAGCTAGAGCCAACAGCAGCACCAGCAGCACCAGCAGCACCAGCAGCGGCACCAACAGAGGCACTAGAAGAAGCACCGGCACTGCCCTTATAGCCAGAACCCACCCCATTGCTAACCCTCTTGCTGCCACCGCCTCCGCTGCCCCCACTGCCCCCACTGCCCCCACGGACCCCAGTAGCAGGTTCTGATTCGTTGATATCGGACGGGAGAGAGGAGTGGTGTATGGAGGTGAGGGAGAGGGTGGGCGAGGTGGCGGGGGAGGGGATGGGCGTGAGTGGCTGCTCCTTTGCTGACCGCATGGTGATGGCTGTGCACACGGATAGCACCACCTGTGTGCGTGGGGGAAGTGAAGAGAGGTGGACAGAGACAGGAAGGGAGGAGAAGAGCGAAGGAGAGCAGGATGGGGGGAGAAGAGGGCAGGAGGGAGCGAGGGCAGAGAGGAGGGAGGTAGGGGAGGGGAGGAGGGAGGGAAGGCAGGAGGGCACAAACAGACAGAAAAGTGGGTGAGGGGAAAGTGGCTGGGGGACGTGGAAAGGGGGAACGGGGGGGGGGAGGGGATAGGAATGGGGAGCTGCGCGTTTGCTGGTCGCATGATGATGGTGTGCACACACATAGCACCGTGAATGTGAGTGATGTTAAAGAAATCAAGAGGAGAGAGGACGAAGGAGAGGAGGGAGAAGGGCGAGATGACTTTTGAGTTGACTGAAACGTCAGAGCATGACGCAAGGGCATGAGAGTGGATGGAACACTGGATGTGAGCGATGTGAGTGATGTCAGGGAAAAGAAGAAGAGGAGGGAGGACGAAGGAGAGGAGGGGGAAGGACGAGAGGAGGGGAAGGGGAAGGAGAGGCAGAAAGAGGAAGAAGAAGAAGAGGAGGGAGAAATGGAAGAAGAGGAGGGGACGCACAATGGCTAGCAGGAAGGCGGCCTTGAGGTTGGCACAGGGCTCCCCACAGGCATCGCTGGTGAGGACAGGGAACCATCTGCATTGCATGGTGTGGGGGGGAGAAGGAGGAAGAGGCAGGGTGGCAGAGTGAAGAGCGAGAGGGCGAGCGAGAATGGCAAGGCCATCAAGAAGCAACGGACTGACTGTGAGTTTCCGCCTCCCAGTAGAGAGAGAGAGGACCTGCCTGGGAAGTTGACACACCAGGACCAGGGTACAAACCGTTTACTATCCGCCTACGGCGCCTGTGTAAGTTCACAGACTCACATGTACCATTGGCCTATGGCGCCTGTGGAATAGCCCATCACACTGCCCACAGCCATCCAGAAGGAGTACCACGCGTTGGCTGCTTCCAGCTGATTGCTGGGCGCTGAGAGGAGCGCGGGGAGGGAGAGGGGAGATGAGCAAGAAGGTGGATTGGGGTTTCGAGTTTGGGGTACGCTGTGTGAACGCAGCATGGGCCATCCAGAAGGAGTACCACGCGTTGGCTGCTTCCAGCTGATTGCTGGGCGCTGAAAAAAACGACGAGGGAGGTGCAAGAAGGTGTGATGAATGAGGTATCTAGCTAGGAGGAGTATGCTGGATGGACGCAGCATGGGCCATTCAGAAGAAGTACCATGCATTAGCTGCTTCCAGCTGATTGCTGGGCGCTGAGAGGAGTGAAGAGGGAAGAGAGAGGAGGGACAGGGAGGGGTTAAATGGGATTATGTGTATCATCGGAAAAAACTGCATGTCTGTACCCTGCCTGAATACATACAAAGGACCGTTTGGGAGGGATGAGTACGAGGGTTGTAACAATTGAAATTATCGATTGAGGAAGGAGCACGAGGGTTGTATGGACGCAGCACAAGCCATTCACACGGAGAAGAGATACTGGAGAGGAGAGATGAGCGAGAGGAGGGATGATGGAGAGGAGAGATGAGGGTGGAGAGATGAGGGAGGAGAGATGCAAATGGAGCGAGGTGGGTGGGAGCCGGAAGAGCAAAAAGAAGAACGTTAAAAAAAAGGGCTTCTCTGTTTTGCGGTGTACAGAATGGGGTCCCCGGAGCAGCATGGGCTATATTCTATTCAGGTGCCTGCACCCATTCGGTATATACAAGCACTGCACATAAGCGCCTCTAAAGCAGCAGGCCACTAGCACACCTGTTAGATCGGCGACAAGGGCCCTGGCAGGTGCCTGCACCCATTCGGTATATACAAGCACTGCACATAAGCGCCTCTAGAGCAGCAGGCCAGCAGCACACCTGTTAGATCGGCGACAAGGGCCCTGGCAGGTGCCTGCACGGTGTTGTTACTGAGATCCAAACACCAGAAGCCCAAGACAAAGAGAGCGCATGCCATGCCATCGGACGAGTGTGGTTTTGAGGCGCCTCTAAACCAGCAGCACACCTGTTAGATCGGCGACAAGAGCCCTGGCAGGTGCCTGCACGGTGTTGTTACTGAGATCCAAACACCAGAAGCCAAGAACAAAGAGAGCGCATGCCATGGGACGAGTACTGGCGGATATGCATGTGGGTGGGAAGAGGGGGGGTGGGAAGAGAGGGGGGGCAGGAGAAGGAGACGAAGAGGAGGGCTTCCATGCTCCTTAGAAGTCAAATGCTGGCTGGGAGGGGAGATATGCTCGTTTGTGAACAGAGGTGACTTTTGAGTCGACTCAAAAGAGACGGGGGGCAGGAGAAGGAGACGAAGAGGAGGGCTTCCATGCTCCTTAGAAGTCAAATGCTGGCTGGGAGGGGAGATATGCTCGTTTGTGAACAGAACAGCGTGGCATTGGGAGGAGGAGAAGAAAGAAGCTGCATTCAGGATTTATTCGTTTTTTAACAGAGAGAGAAAAAAAAAGGAACATTAATCATACGGTAACATCCATTAGCAAGCGGTAACATGGAGGAGGAGACGGTATGAAGTTACATACCCGCCCTGAGGATGGAGCTCGTCCCCTAGAAGGTATCCCAGATCCGCACTGAAGCCGATTATCAACACCTGATGCAGAGCAGGTGGAGACAGGGAGGAGGGAGAGGAGCAAGGTGACTTTTGAGTTGACTCAAAAGCCACTAAGGTACCCTGGGTCAGCACTGAAGCCGATTATCAATACCTGATGCAGAGCAGGTGGAGACAGGGAGAAGGGAGGAGCAGCAGCAGCAGCAGCAGCAGCAGCAGCAGCAGCAGCAGCAGCAGCAGCAGCAGCAGCAGCAGCAGCAGCAGCAGCAGCAGCAGCAGCAGCAGCAGCAGCAGCAGCAGCAGAAGCAGCAGCAGCAGGGAGGAGGAGACGCAGCAGGAGACGTGTGCATAAGAGGAGGGCGGATAAAAGTGCACACAATCAGAGCCACAACACAACCCAGAACCAGAAGCCAACCAGCAAGCAGAGGTGCAAGCAGGTGCGTGCGTGAAGGCAGGTAAGAGTTGAGGGGACAAGGGGAGATGCAAAGCACAGGTAGAAGGGGAGAACGAAAACAAGGGCAAAACAGGACGAACGAGAGAGAGGGGTGAAGAAGGGACGGTTTGGGAGACCGGTAGAGGCATGATGGGCAATGTTGCATGCAGATGTGACTATGCGACGTGAAACGTATGGCAATCAGGCCGTCTGTCGCATGGCATGACATACAGCAGCCATGGCAATGTGTGGCATGGCATGGCATGGCATGGCATGGCATGGCATGGCATGGCATGGCATGACGTACAGCAGCCATGACTAGCAGTGCTCCAGTGAAGATGAACGGCCGTCTCCTGCCCCAGGGCGAGCGGCACGAGTCACTCCACACGCCCACCAGGGGTTGCACCTGAGGGATGGGCAGATGTGGCATGTGACAGATGTGGCATGTGACAGACGTGGCATGTGACAGACGTGGCATGTGACAGATGTGGCATGTGGCAGATGTGGCATGTGACAGATGTGGCATGTGACAGAGAAGTGTGTCGGGTGACAGAGACGTGTGTCGGGTGACAGAGACGTGTGTCGGGTGACAGAGACGTGCGTCGGGTGACAGAGACGTGTGTCGGGTGACAGAGATGGGTGCATGTGTGCATGGGTGCATGTGTGCATGTGTGCATGGGTGCATGGGTGCATGTGTGCATGGGTGCATGTGTGCATGGGTGCATGTGTGCATGTGTGCATGGGTGCATGGGTGCATGGGTGCATGGGTGCATGGGTGCATGTGTGCATGGGTGCATGTGTGCATGGGTGCACGGGTGCATGGGTGCATGTGTGCGTGCATATGTGGATGGGTGCATGTGACAAAACATATTGCACCACTGTATGCCAAATCGCATCACACTGTAGGCTGTATCCCACCAGAAGGCCAGAGATGGGACCGCAGAGCCACACGAACGACGCCCACGCGTGTGGAATTCCAAGGGTCTGCACAGGCGCACATGCATGGGGGGATGGTGGTGATGTGACTTTTGAGTCGAGTCAAATGTCACCTAATTCCAAGGGTCTGCACGGACGCACATGCATGGGGGGATGGTGGTGACGGGGAACCCATAAAGAATGTGCATGCAGGAACATGTACTATGATGTATGAAATGTGCAGCAAGCAGTGAGACATCTAAGCAACGTGTGGAAAAAAATGCACGGCAAAGGAGAGTGTGTGGAACCGAGACAATATGGTTAGGATTCATGGCTTGGTCATATGAATTTGGCATGCAGATTGGACGGAAGGCACGAGTGTATGGACCAAGATTAGTCTGTGAGACACTTTGAATGAACAGCCTTGCATGCCCTCTTCACTTTAGCAAAGCTAGAGTCAATAGCAGCAGGCGCTTAGCTTGCTTGCTATGCTTAGCTTGCTACACTCAGCATCAGCCAGAAACACTCTTATCAGACGTCTCAAGACGCACCTGTACGTATGGAGTGAGAAGGGAGAGCTGCAGGGCCCATCCAAATTGAATTCCTGGAACAACAACAGCCATACATGCAGCAGAGAAACCCTCCTCCATCCCCCCCTCCCACCCACCCCACCAGCTCCCCACCCCTCCACACACCCCGCTGCCTCCCTCCCACACCACCCATTCATCCTTCCCCCCGTACCAATCACCAACCCCCAACCCCCATGACCTCACCCCAATCCACATTCCACAGCCACCGGACCATTCCCAGCAAGAGCATTAATCAGGTCCTTCCAGCGTGAACCTCCCCATACCAGACCACTTTTCAGTGAACCTCAAAAATCACTGTACAAAAATATATAGCACCATGCAAAGAAGAGAATCGCACGTGGGTCTCTTTCTTAACGGTATTCATTCTTATGAACGTGAATTGCCAGCAACAGACGGACAGACCCACGTCCCAAGCCTGTCCCAAGCCTGTCCCAAGCCTGTCCCATGCCTGTACCATGCCTGTCCCATCCAACCTCTTCTCACCTCCAACAGCAGTCAGCCTAAGGTGGGTGGTTCTCTCTATTACGGCGCCGCCTCTTCGCGTAATCTAGAAACGGCTACATTCGAGTACCACATAGTGCGGCGACGAGCCCGATTCGTTATAAGGCCCATACCTGCAGCAATAACGGAGATGCTTGCGAGCTTGCGGTTGGACAGCCGTTTCGGCCGGCCCTCGAACAGCGGGCTGCGATCGCCGTCGTTGCTGCTGCTGGGGCTGAACGTGTCGCGTTCGTCACGCTCTCCCCGGTCAATGCATTCATTGCGGTCAACACTGTCAACGTGGTCAACGCGGTCAACGCGGTCAACACTGTCAACGCGGTCAACGCGGTCAACGCGTTCAACGCGTTCAACGCGTTCAACACGATCAACGCGATCAACGCGTTCTCCGCCCGCGCCGCGCCCATCACGGTCCGACATAGACGCGTCTACTCTACCGCTGAGACCTAGGCCTCGATCCTACCGAGCAGCGGCGAGAGTTGGAAGCGGCGAGATGGCAACAGAAAGAGGAAGCAGGGTCGCGAGCCGCAAGGAATTGAATAAGGGTGAGATGGGAGGGAGGGAGGGAGGAGGAGGGACGACCCGAGATGTCTTAAGACGAATGGAGAGAGCGACTGGGATTGGAACCTGAGTAACCTCAACGGCCAGATGCCGGATCATGGCAGTGCATGTCGAATCATGTCAGCTCATCTCAGATCATGTCAGATAGTGCCAGAAGCCTGCTTCAGTCGGTCCTCGCGCGCCCTGAAGCACAGTCAAGGTTAGTGCGTCAGTGACGGTCTTTCTGACTGACGGCTAGACTGACAGCGTGACTAGAGGTCTGACTTATGGGAAACAACGGATCAGCCATTCGACGTGAAAACACAGGCGGGTTTCCTTCTGACTGTCGCATAACGGGTCATCCGCGTCACATAGTTGAGAACCACAGATTAAAGTCAAGTTGCGCCAGCCGTACGATTGAATTCGCCCGAGCGTCGCAAAGAATACGGTCTAGTAGGTGGTAGCTAGACGGTACTGAACCGAACGCCAGAACGTTGAAACAGCAGCGCCTGAATAGTTGCTTTTGCTGCCTGGCAGGAGCGCAACATAAATCAAACGCAGCGCTGCTCTATGGGGGTTCTGCTCGCTAGGCCTGCGGTATTGGGATGTGTTTCGATTCGAATTCGGAGCTGCAATTGGTGTGCTACTGCGGGCATGGCCCACTTTCTTGGAGTCTCATTTGAGAACTTTAAGAAGCAGTTCGTTAATATTGTACAAGCCTTGGTGTTCCAGTATGAGTCGCTCGATACCACGTAGAGGTGTACAAATGTTGATTGAAGGAACACCTTCGTGCGCCAAGCCTCTCTCACGTTCGGGTTGCCCGAAGCTAGGAAATAGTATGGAATTTCTCCGGCAGCCTGATGCGAGGTGTGGCAATTTTCCACGCCTCTGTAATACTTAAAGCCCGAGTCTAGAATGGTAAGGCTTCAAGATTACTGAACTTGAAAGGTGTTGGGAAAGCGAAGGAATGGGCAAGCGATGGTCATGTGAAGGCCAGCGACATGATGGGAGAGCATGGGAGACACTCAGAGTAAGCGTGGGCGACGGACGCGGGAAGGGAGAGCCACCTAAAAGGCGACGGGAGGGGAGGCGAATTCAAGTTCAAGAATCTTGAACTTGTTGCTCATAAACCCGAAATTAAAGCCAGGATCTCAAGTAAGAGAATTGGCCTTCAATTGCAAAACACTTGCAGCGCTTGTTACCCTATTTTTGTAGGCGAATTGACTGGCTGGTTAGGAAAGTGAGCGTGCGGCACACCCACGATTTTGCCCCTAGAGCAAATGCAAAACATTTTGCTGGTACATGAGATTGTTGTGTGTGACGAGAAATTGCAGGCATTGGAGCTTCGTCACCGAACCAGTTTCCGAGCCTTGCTTGGTTCGGACTGAACTTGCGATTTGTCTTTACTTCGCACCCCTCGCTTCACACCTCGTCAGATTGTTCACCTCGCTAACCAATCGCAGCCCAGCTCCCCTCACCAACTGCAAAACAATTGAACTACTTGAGATCCTGGCTTTAAGCTGTCAGAACGACAACTATATGAGGTTTTGTTCGGTGCGCTATGTTTTGAATCGGTGCAAAACTACACTTGTCTATGACCGATTTTTAGCGTATTGAACCGCGTAATACGAACCCTAAATTACATATTTTTCCCTCCCTAAACTCCAGTTTTTGCTCAATAAAGAACTACTGCACAAGTCCCCCTCCACCACACTAGCAGCGCACAGAAAAGACCAAAACCAACACCCAACCTGAGGCCCGAACCGAACCAAACGGGGAAGCCGTTGGGCTGCGCCAGAAACACCGCTGCGCGAAACACTCGAGAAGCCGCCCTGCAGCTTTCCCGCCCTTATCACCCATTCCCCCCAGTTTCCCCGTTTCGCTGCCTTCCCCTTTCCAACCACCAACTGTGCTTGCGCGCACCTCTTCCGCTCCGCTCCGCCACCTTGAGAACTTCTTGGCAGCACCTAGCCCACTGCTCGCTTGCTCGAACCTCCATAACTTTCGGAAACCGCAAGCTTGACCTGCCATTCGTCCTGCTAGCTCTTGGTTTCCTCTCACCTCCTATTCAGCCCCTCGAACCCGCGAGGGAAAGTACGTTCTGCTTTGATGTCCTTAGACCTTGCGTGCAAAATAGTTCGTACATTATTTTTTTCTTATGTTCTGACGTCGAACTGATACGTGATAAGGCGAGTTTCGTTGCGTCCGTGCATTACAGGAGCGGAACACAATGTTGTGCAGACCTGAAGGGCGAAGTTAGCTCCCTATAACACGCCATCACCGTTGACCCATTTATTCGTTTCCTGGATACGTTCCAGGTTAACCTGACACCCTGACTCGCGTCAATAAAGCAAGCGAATCTGCTAGGACTCGCGGACGCATTACCATTTATTATCCCCCTGTTCCGTGCTCCCGCCCTCCGCGTGTTCCTGCGGCGATGAGCGGTTACCATCACCGCATTCGTTGTAACATTTTCGCCAGCTTCGCCTCGATGCACCTGTGATGACCGCGGCCGACGGGCCCCTTGTTGGATCGGATGCCTGGGAGCAGCTCTCCCGCCCTCCCGCAATTCACGCCGCAGATCACGCTAAATGGAGCATGATGCGACGACCTTCTACGAGCTCGGGTCGGTTAGGGGGGGAAGGGAGTGGCGGAGCGAGCACCGGCGGCGGCGGGGGCGGTAACAGTAGTTCGACTAGTATTTTGGCGTCTCTTGTTCCGGAACATTTTACCTGCCCGTTGTCTGCGGACATTATGCGAGATCCTGTGATTATAGCGTCCGGGCTGACGTACGAGCGTGCCTTTATCGAGCAGTGGTTTGCGGAAGGGCACATGACGTGTCCTAAAACGCGTCAGCGGGTAGATCATACTAACCTATGTCCTAATGTAGCCGTTAAGAAGATGATTACTGATTGGTGCTTAGCGAATCGCATCACATTAGCGCCTTTGGAGCCGCCCCCTTCTCTCGATGCGGTACGGGGATACGCGGGGGAAGGCCGCGGAAAGGGGGGCGGAAGCAGCGGAAGCGGAAGGCGGCCTCCTTCCGCCCAAGGCCCCGCGGACCGCCAGCGGTCGCGCGGTGAGGGCCGTAGCAGTAGTCGTAAGGCGGAAGCGGAGGAAGAACAGGGGGAAAGGGGAGGGATTGAGCGGCGGAACTCGTATGACCGGGGAAGCGAGGACGGCGCGCGGAGGGAGCGGAAGGTCAAGGGAAAAATGAAGGACGCGGGAGAAAGCAAGGACGGGCGGGATAGTAGAGAAACGAGGGAAGAGGGGGGGAGGGAAGGGGGAGATCTGAGGGACAAAGGGGAGGTAGTGAGGGAGAAGAAAGGCAAGGGAACGGGCGAACGGGAGAAGCGGGGAGAGAAGGGGGTAACGGGGGTGTCGGGGAAAGAGCGCGCCAGCAAGAGCAGCGTGAAGAAGAAAGGGAGTTATAGAGACAAGAGGGAGGACGATGTGTCGGCGGAAGCGGAACGCGGGCACGAGAAAGACAGAGGAATGGCGGCGACCGCGCAAGGGCAGGGGCGCGCGCAGGCCGGGAATGACAGAGATCGGCACCATGACACGTGGTCTGACTCAGAGGATCAGGATGAGGAGCCGCATGCTGACGTGGCAGGCGGCAGGAAAAAGGACAAGGGCGGCGCCGCCGCGGCGGGAAAGTCCGCGACGACGGCGCCGGGGAAGGTGCGGAAGGCGGTAGGGCGGAACGCGAGTTGGGGCGCGCAACCCGCGCAATTAATAGACTCTGGCGGGAGTCGGGTCGACGCGCTGCTGTCGGCGGGAAGGGAGGCGCACGAGGGGAGCAGCGAGGGATCCGGACGTAGATTAAAGGAGCGTGCGGAAAAAGCGGAGACGGGATCGGCGCGGAGAGGCGGCGCGACGTCTCTAGGAACGACGCCCGAGCACCCGAAGCGCGGGATATTAAAAGGCGGGAGTTCCAGGGAGTTTGCCACTAGCAGGAGCGTCGCGAGCGCTTCCGCCGTCGGCGCAGACAGTTCCCCGATGCGCATGCGCCGCGGCATGCGCGGCGGGTCGCTGTCGGGGCGGCACGACGTGTTTGCTGACGACAGCGGCGGCTTCGAGAACAGCCAGAGGCGGTTTGGCGGGCACGAAATGGATATCACGGTGGCGGCGGCCGCGGTGGCGGGGGTGTTTCGTGATCGTGGCGCGCCGGTTTCTCCGCGCGGGGAGGACGACAGCGAGGGGGAAGGGGACGGGGAAGGGGGAGGGGAACGGGTAGGAGGAGGACAGGAGAGATGGGAACGCGGAAGCCCTGGGAGCGGTCGGCAGAATCCGGTGCTTGATTCAGGGAGAAGGGGGGGAAACGACGCGCGCGGGGAGGTACCGGGGGAAAGGGACGGGCCAGGCGCGCAGTTCGGGGTGGCCGGGGGAGCGCCAGTCGGGGGAGTGAATATGGAGGCGCTAGCGCACGTGAAGGTCACGCGGAAGGAGCGCGCGCGGCTGATGGAGCTGGCGGCGCAGCAGCAGGGTGGCGGAAGCGCCATGGGCGGAACGGGGAGCTCTAGCGGGCGCTTCAGCGCGGCCGTTCTAGGGCTCGATTTGACTCCGGAGCACGATGAGAATGGGGGCGGGAGCGGAGGCACAAGCACCGCGGGAGACCTCCCCAGCGGCCCGCCTTCCCCCCATGCCGTCCCCCAGTGGCGGAACCTCCTTGTCGTGCGCACGCCCATGGCTTCCGCCAGTACTTCCCCCATCATGTCCCGCCAGGGCAGTCAGCGGGAGTCCGCCAGTGGGGGAATTGCGGGCGCGGGCGCGGGGGGAGGAGGGTTCGGGGTGAGCGTGCATGCACTGCGCGCGCGCGTCATGGAGCTGGGGAAGGGCTCCGCGGGTGACCCGGAGAGCGGCGGGGGGGAGGGCGGAGGGGGAGGGGGAGCGGCGGAGGGGGAGCGCAGGCTCGGGGAGCATTCGCGCACGAAAACGTGGGGAGGGGGGGCCCTAGCGGCGCTACAGGGGGAAGCCGGGGGAGGGGGCGGAAAAGTAACCCGGGAGGAAGCGGCGCGGAGGGCGCATAAGGGGAACGCTGGGGGCGAGGGCGGGGAGTGGGGAGGCGGAGGAGGAGCGGGGGAGAAGAGCAGGCGGAGGAGAGCGGGAACGGGAACGTGGGAGTTAGAAGCAGATGCTGCTGCTGGGCACGGGAGATCAGGAGAATTTGCACTAAGGAACAGGGACAGGGAGAAGGATCGAGAGAGGGACAAGGAGAGGGAGAGAGAGATGGAAATGGAGAGAGAAATGGAGTCGGAAGAGTATGGAGAGCGAGAGGTGAGACCAGAGAGAGACACGTGGGTTCTCCGGAAGAGCAGCAGTCAGAGAGAGCATATTAGTAGCTCTAATGCCTCTGGGTCTGCCTCTGGCCGTATGCTAGATATACCCCCCCATGAGCTGCTTCTTATGCAGCAATCGCAGCAGCACGCGCCGGCCAGCCAAGGCCGCTCTCCCCCCCTCTCCCGCCCCCCCCGCAACTCCCCCAATGCCCCCGCTGCGCCCTTCTCCGCTCCCTTCCCCGAGCCCCGGAACCTCTCCCGCCTGTCTTCCCCCCCCGTCCCCCGCCCGCACTCCCCGTTCCACTCCCCAGCCGCGACCGGGAGGTCCGGAAGCAGTTTGGGAGGTTCGGGGTTGTCTGGGAGCCAGGATGACCTGTCCGCCGCCTTGGACCAAACCGGGGCGGGAGGCTCGGGGCGGTGGTCCGGGAGGGGGGGAGGGGAGGGAGGGGAGGGAGGTGGAGGTGGGGGAGGGGTTGGGGGAGGGAGTGGGAGGCATGGAGGGGGATCAGGATCGGGATCAGGTTCGGGATCGGGTCGGCATCATGCGTCTGGCGGTATAAATCGGTCTCTGTCTTCGGTCCCGCCTGGTCTATTAAGGGGGTGGGGAGTGACAGATGACGGTGGGGCGGGGAGCGCGGTTGGCAGCGGTGGCAGTGGTGGTAGCAGCGGTACAAATGGGCGGAATGGGACTGGAGCAAGCCCTGCAGAGGAGAAAGAGCGGTTGTTGGGGCGAGGGCGGTCGTTAAGGGAGCAGCAGGCGGAAGGGAAGGCGGAAGGGAAAGTGGACCAGCGGGGATTCGAACCCCCGCCTAGAGCAGGGAGGAGAAGCTTGGATCTAGAGAGGACGAAAACGGGTATGGGAACGCTAGCAGCAGGGGGGGGAGTGGCCGGAGCGGGGAAAGGAAGGGGCGGGAGTAGAGGAGGCGCGGGGGGTGGGGGAGAGGGCGGAGGGGGGACTGCTGGAGGGGGAGCAGGAGGGGGGGTCGGGGGGGTAGGGGGAGGGGCAGGGGGAGGGGCAGGCGGAGGGGCGGGCGGAGGGGTTGCGGGAGGGGGGGTAATAGTAGGGGATCACAGTGTGGGTTTGGTGATGGGAGGGAGCGGTAAGGAGCGGTATGTGAGTGCAACGTTCGGTTCTGTGGTTCGCCCTGCCAGTGCAGACACCCACAGGCGCAACAGAAGCGTGGGATGGAACCTTCTAGACCCTATGGCAAACCCAGGGGGAGGGGCAGCAGCAGCAGGAGCTGGAGCAGGAGCAGGGTTGGAGGGAGCACCAGGAGGAGGAGGAGGGATAGGTAGAGCTAGAGACCCCTGGCAAAGACCGGCCACACCAGAGAGAAGAGGTGGGGATGGCAGAGGAGGGGCAGGAGCTCTGGGTGGGTCGGCACGGCGGGCGGCGGGCTCCGACTTCTTCTCTACCGAGGGACCGGGCGGCGCAGGTGTGGACCTGGGATTTGATCCTGATGAGCTGGCAGCACAGCTAGGAGCACGATTCTCCCAACTAGCTGAAGATCTGAGGAGCGGGTCGAGGAGTAAGAGAGTAGCAGCAGCACGGACGGTCCGAATAGACGTGAAAGGGCAGGGAGAGGCAGAGATACCGGTAGCTCGGAAGCAGCTCGTGCGTGCCGGGGTGATTAAAGCCCTGGTAGCTGTGATCAAGCGTGAGGGCGGGGCAGGAGAGGGCGACGGGGAGGGGGGGGAAGGGGAGAAGACCGCAAGGCTAGAGGAACTAGACCAAGTGACTGCTGCGATTCTCGCGCTTGCTCTGCACTGGGCTGCTGCTCCTGATCTAGCTCGAGCCGGGACCATCCCGGCTCTAGTCCTGGTCTTAAAGCTAGGATCCCAATCTGCTAAAGCCGCGGCCGCGGCAACGATGTATGTGTTGGCAAAAGAGGACGATTTTCGGGGGGCGGTGCGGCAATCGGGAGCCGTGCCGCTGCTGCTGACGGTGATCAAGAAGGGGACGCCGAGAGGGAGAAAGGACGCGGCTCTAGCTCTGTTTGCCATCTCGCTGTCGACGCGAGGAGCCAAGGAGGTGGTTTCAGCAGGAGCGATTCCTGTTCTGCTGGATGTGATCGGGCAGGAGGAGGATCTGCCCGGGCTGGAAGAAAAGGCTGTCGCGGTGCTGTTGAATCTTTCGCGGCTGCCCGAGGGGTGCGAGGAGATAGAGAAGAGCGACGGGATGATGAGAATGGTGGATTTGTTAGATGAAGGGGCTTCGGAGCGGTCGAAAGAGGATGCTGCTGCTGTGCTGCTCGCTATGGTGAAGATGGAGATTGTCACTGTAAAGGATCTGCTTGCAGAGGGGATGTTGCCGTCTCTGGTTCGTGTGGCTGCTGGTGGTGGGAGCGAGAGCAAGGCGGCAGGAGCAGCAGCAGCAGGCGGAGGGAATGTGGCTCCTGAAGCAAAGGAGTTGCTAGAGCTGCTGAGGAAACGGGGGAAAGATGGGGGGAAGGGGTAGTGGTGAGTTTTGAGTCGTTTCAAAATTTGCAGGTGGAATGTGGCTCCTGAAGCAAAGGAGTTGCCAGAGCTGCTGAGGAAAGGGGGGGAAGACGGGGGCAAGGGGTAGGTTAGGTTAGTTGTTTCCTGGTGCCAGGGTTCTGACGGATGGCTGGCTGCTGCTTCAGCTGCTGTGACTGCGGGAGCTTCTGTGGGATGCTGATGCTGATCCTGATGCTGATGCTGATGCTGATGCTGATGCTGATGCTGATGCTGATGGTGATGCTGACGCTGATGGTGCAGCAGCCATGGAAGCATCTGGATTGATGGTGTGGGTGGTGGATGGAGTAGTGTTGCACGAACGGCACCATGTACCATAAGTGGGGTAGCGTGTGAGAGACTTGGGGAGCATGGAAGCTGGAGGTATGGGAGGGGGGGGAGGAAGCGCAACTGCTTAGGATGGGTGCGTGGGTAGGAAGGTGGTTAGGTGGGTGGGTGTGTGGGTAGGTAGGTGGTTAGGTGGGTGGGTGTGTGGGTGGGTGGGTGGAGTGGGGCGAATAAGGTGATTCAGACTCTGCTGTCGAGGCATCTCTGGAGTTATCAGCTTGGCATGACTCCTGCACCTTAGGAGGAGGCATAGGCTGGGTCGGAAAGGGGGTGAGTGGGCTGGTGAAGGGTTGAGGGAATGGGGGGGGTGGTACGTATGTGGGCGGGTGGGCTGGTGGGACGGATAAGATTCCTTTGACTGCCTGCCATCAGCTCTATCCCACTGTCCCACCCCCTTCCCCTTGGTACTTTCTTCCTCCGTCCTTTCTTCCTCGTCTCCTCCTCTCCCCATCCTCTCCTCTCCTCTCCTCCACTCCTCCCGACCACCTCCTCCTCCTCCTCCTCCTCCTCCTCCTCCTCCTCCTCCTCCTCCTCCTCCTCCTCCTCCTCCTCCTCCTCCTCCTCCTCCTCCTCCTCCTCCTCCTCCTCCTCCTCCTCCTCCTCTCATCCTCATCCTCATCCTCATCCTCCTCCTCCTCCTTCTCCTCCTCCTCCCTCCCCCTCCTTTTTCACTCTCCCACTTTCCCCTCCTCTTCCAACATTCCTGTCTCGGTCCACTCCTTTCTCTCGTCCCTCTTCTACTTGTCTTTCCCCCCCTCCCTTTTCTCTCTCTTTATCAGCATTCCCTCGTTCCTTATGGTCCATCCAGCATCCTGTCTTAAGGTGCTTCTATCTATCTTCATTCTCCTGGGTGAAATTCCTAACCTTGGTGCCTTCGTGAACTCCTTACCAGCAGTGGTGGTTATTTCGCATTCACGCACACGTCGTTGCTGTGCAGTATTTGTGGGACTGCGGTGTAAGAGAGAATCTGTCAATCAACGTGTGCTGTGCACTGTATGTGATAGCAGCAGATGCTACTACTGCAGCATTGGGAGGGAGAGGGGAGGGGAAGGCAGATGGGGATGGGCAGGGGGCATGTATGTATGCAACAAGTGGTTGTGTGCCGTGCGGATGTCTCCCCTTGTTTATTTCTTTCCTTTCCTTTCCAGTATTCCTGTTAGGCGAAGGGCTCGTGGGCTAGGGCTACTAACTGCAACTGAATGACCCATCTAGAATGTTTCCTCAAATTGGGTAGTTATGTATGCCTATTGGGTATAGTTATTAACATAACTTTTATTTTGCGAATTAGTGATTCTAATCAGGTATTGCTCATTGTGCGTTTCACAGCTCCTCGGTGTAAGGAAAAACCCTTGACATGCTGCGAAGTGCCCCCGCAATCGTCATTGTTGCTACTTCTGCTGCTACTGCTGCAGCTGCGGCTTCTGCCGCTGCTGCTGTCACTGCCGCTGCTGCTGCCGCTGCTGCTGCTGCGAGTGCCATTGTTCCCAACGCTGCTCTGCTTCGGTTGGAAATGAAAGGATCTGGTCCAAAACAAATCAAGAAAGGAGCCTTTTCTTTCCACGGTCCATTTTCAATGGCGCCATCCGGGTGGCGCTTGACAAAGCTGCCCTTGGCTTGGGTACCTCCACCACCACCTGCACGAAGCGAGGCACGAATATCTGCAATGCAATGCAGGGGCGGGGAGGAAACGATGGGAGGAGAAGGTAGAGAGAGAGAGGGAATGGAGAGGGGGTGAGTAGGATATGGGGGTTAGAGGCTGAACTGTATGTGCTTTCTCTATCCTTGTGCATGTCTGTACTTGCTTGGATCTAATACACGGACCGCTTGAGGGAATGGAGAGGGTGCCGTGAGTTGAAGGGCTTGATTAAGCTGCCCTTGGGCACCTCCACCACCACCTGCACGAAGCGAGGTACGAAGATCTGGGAGGGAGAAGGCGGGGGGTGGAAGAGGGGGCAAAAGAGGGGAAAGCAAGCGTTGCATGGGCCGCACGAGGTTGAAGAAGCTGCCCTTGGTACCTCCTCCACCACCTGCACGAAGCGCGTCACGAGGATCTGAGAGGGGAGCGAAGGAGCAAGGGGGAGTGTTGCGAGGGGATGGGGGGGGGGGGGGGGGGGGGGGGGGGGAGAGGGAGGGTTGGGGTTTCTCGATGAACCTTGCTAGTTCTCTCGCTAGATTTCTTGATGGATTTCCGTTTTTTTAGAATTCTCAAATTTCCCCTTTCTTGCTAGATTGGTCGCGGCTGACACGGAAGCGGCGGTTGCGACTGCAGTCGCCTGGGGGACGGATAGATTCGACCCCATAACCGGCTGACCGTCAACTCTTCGTGCACTACGTTACCGGCTAGCCGTCACTTCTGGTTGCTGAAACAACACGTTTGCTGCCTGATTTTGATTCTAGGCCGTTTTCTCTGACGCCTGAATACGCACAGCTCCTGGACTACTTCAAGCTAAGCAACAAGGAACAAAAGCTTTAGTGAGCGGATAAAGTGCTGCGAAGGTGGTGGTTTGGCGACAGTCGCATCAGTCGCCGCCAAGAGCGGAGGTATAAAAAAGGATGCATGGGAACTGGGTTCAAGTTTGTACGCGCTTGAGAGTACGGATAAGCTTTGATCGGCCAAGAAATACACTTGCAACATCAACATAGGTGATTCGTCTGTTTTTACATTCGTATGAACAAATGTGACCCATTTTAGCGCAAAAAAAAAGCGGCTCCACTCAAAGATGACCTGTATTGGCCTGTAATTCACGGTTTAACAATTGCAACAAATTATGCAAACATACCATACTCCAAACAGATTTATCTTATGGCAAGTTTACAACATAGGATAGTAACTATGGGGTGATTTGGCTTGCAAAAAGGTGCAGCAGACTGAAGTGCAGCTTCGCTGCTTACGCAGCTGCTGCAACAGGTGCTTTCTCTACAGAGCACCCAATAATGCGCTCCGCTAACAACAAGTCATCAGGAGTTGTCACCTGTGGTGTACAAGCAAGGTCCATATTAATAACAATGAGGTCACATGAATACCAAGCAGCGAAAATCAGTAACTACATCAAGCTGATGTGGGGGGGAAGAGGAAAGCGAGAGTGGGACGGGGAAACTGCGGGAGTGGGGAGAGGGGGTGGGAGAGAACAGGGTTAAGGGATCCACAGTGACACACATGAGCTCAAGGCGTTCGTTCGTACCTTGATGTTGGTGTACGCGCCCTCAGTGATCTTGACGGGCTGCTTCAGATACTCCACAATGGACACGTCATCTGTCACCTCCAGGCCCTCCCTGCGGGTTGTGTTGGTGCGTCGTAAGGGGCCACGGGGTAGACAGAAAGTGCGGGGGGGACGGGCAGCAGGCTCATTGAACCACCTGCTTAGTCAGGCTGCTTAAGATACTCCACAATGGTCACGTCATCTGTCACCTCCAGCCCCTCCCTGCAGGGTGTGCGGTAGGGGTCACGGGGTAGAGAGAGACAGAAGGAGGGAGAGGCTGCTTGGGATACTCCACAATAGACACGTCATCTGTCACCTCCAAACCCTCCCTGTGGGGTGTGTGCGGTCAGGGGTCAAGGGGTAGAGAGAAAGAGAGGGAGGGAGAGGCAGCAGGCTCATTGAACCACCTGCTTAGTCAGGCTGCTTGAGATACTCCACAGTGGTCACGTCTTCTGTCACCTCCAGGCCCTCCCTGTGGGGTGTGTGCCGTGGGGGGCAGAGCAATGGGGAGGGAGAGGCTGCTTCAGATACTCTGTGACCTCAATCAACACGTCATCTGTCACCTCCAGACCCTCCCTGTGGGGTGTGGCATCAGGGCGATCAGGGGGTAGAGACAGAGGGCGGGCGGGCTGATTGAATCGCCCGCTCAGTCAAATTGGTGGATTCCGCACAATGAGACCGTCGCCTGTCTGTCACCTTCAGGCCATTCATCGCTCGGTTGCACCGTCAGGTGGGTCATGTGGGTCAGCGGGTAGCAAAAGAGGGAGGGACGGGGAGGAGGAGGTGGGCCAATGGCAGAGTAACTTTAACAGGTGTGATGTGATCCAGCTGCCACTCCCCTTGTTGCCAGATGATTTTTTAGTCGACTCAAAAGTCATCTCGTGACTTTGACTGGTGTGATTCAACTGCCACTCCTCGTGTTGCCCCAGCCAGCCCCCACCCACCTGTTGCCTTTCCAACAATGTTCGCAGTCCTGTGTTCAACGGCCACTCCTGTTGCTGCCCCGGTCATCTGAAACCTACAGCCCGTTCACCAATCTTCAGATTGGTGCAGCAGGCTGTGGTTCAGCAGGCACTCCATCTGCTGCCCCAGCCAATCAACACACCTGTTGCCTTCCCCAACCTTCCCCAACCTTCCCCAACCTGCTGCCGTGCCTGCCAGCAACATTCAAATCCGGCATTCCAGCAGTCCCTCACACCCACTGATGCCACCTGTTGTCCAGCTCGAGCCCGTCGTGCAGCAACTTTGGGTTTGAGCGCATCAGCTGCGACGTCTGAGAATTTCCAAAAGTAGGAAGAACACACACAGTGCTGTCACGGCCATCCCCCCACCCCCTCCACCCCCCAGCCCACCCCACACCCACCTGTTGACGAGCTCAAAGCCATCGCGCAGCAGCGGTGGGCGCATCACCTGCGACCTTTGAGCAATTTCAAGAGTAGAACCCACCCACTGCTGTCCCTGCCGCCCCCCCCTCCCCCGCCCACCCCACACCCACCTGTTGACGAGCTCAAATCCATCGCGCAGCAGCTGTGGGCGTATCACCTGCGACTTTTGAGAAGACTCAACGGTGGAGCCCGCCCAGTGCTGTCCCTGCCCTACCGTCACCCCCGACGCACCCACCTGTTGACGAGCTCGAAGCTGTCCCGCAACAGCTGCTCCGCACCGCACCACCAGCGCCTTGTAAGAATATGCAAAAGTAGAGCCACCAAGGTGACTTTTGAGTCGACTCAAAAGGCACCGCACCACCAGCGCCTTGTAAGAATATGCAAAAGTAGAGCCACCAAGGTGACTTTTGAGTCGACTCAAAAGGCACCGCACCACCAGCGCCTTGTAAGAATATGCAAAAGTAGAGCCACCAAGGTGACTTTTGAGTCGACTCAAAAGGCACCGCACCACCAGCGCCTTGTAAGAATATGCAAAAGTAGAGCCACCAAGGTGACTTTTGAGTCGACTCAAAAGGCACCGCACCACCAGCGCCTTGTAAGAATATGCAAAAGTAGAACCACCAAGTGCCGTCGCCGCCACTCAAACCCCACCTGTTGACGAGGTCGAAACCATCGCGCAGCAGCTGTGGCCGCATCCCCTTTTTGCCTTTCCAGAATCGTTCACTACCCACCCATTGCTGCCACAGCCACCCTCTTCCCCCCACCTGTTGACGAGGTCGAAACCATCGCGCAGCAGCTGTGGCCGCATCACCTGCGGCGTCTGCATCTCCCACAGCAGCCGCCTGTCCAGCGTGCGCTGCACAAAGCCCTTGCCGTCCGACTGTGAGGAGAGGAGGGAAGGGGGAAGGACAGAGAGCTGGTGGGTGCTGTGTGGTGCCCCCTTTGGCCTTGCTGCATCTCCCACAGCAGCCGCCGGTCCAGCGTGCGCTGCACAAAGCCCTTGCCGTCCGACTGTGC